TTCACTTGGGCAGCTGCTGCTTCTTCAGCCTGGGCCTCAGGATAAACACGCTTGGAAAAGAGCTACCTCATCTAGTCTGCAGACCAGCAGTGAGGAGCAGAGTGGACCCAGCCAACAGAACATTAAACCACAGCTGCCCCAGCCAAACTGCAGACTCATGAGAACTGCTATCTTAACCCACGAGGTTGGGATGGGTTTATTACATAGCATTATTGTGGCAATAACTAATTAATACATGTGCACACTCTTCTATTAGATTATAAGTTAAGCCGCTGCAGTAGAGATCCTACACAATATTGAGTTAAATAAGAAAGACATTTATTGACCTTTTGTGTAAGAATATGGTTAAGCAGCCAGGGTTAGTTTGGCAGCTCATGGGGAGACAGGCTCCACCATTCTCACTGTAGCCCTCTTCCACCAGCAGCCTTTGTATTGTTCACAGATCGGAGGTAATTTTCCTGCAAGTCCAAACACGCCACAGCGTGGCGCCAAACCCTCTTTCCTACATCACCGTCCAACACCTGAAGCCTCACCCTGAACCATGTTTCCACTCCTGCTCCAGGCCTCGGGGCCTGTTCTTTTCTTGGATGGGTGCGCTCCTGCTATGTCTGCAAGCTGCTGCTCCAAGGCCCTCCCCCCGGGGGTCTCGACAGCATCTCACTCTCACCAGAAGCCAGGCCTGGTGCTCCCCAGGAGAGGTCCTGACCTCCTTGGGGAGTGGGAGGGGTGGGCAGAGATGTCCATTCTGCCTCCCAGTCATCCTAGGAGCCGACCTCTCCCACCCTCAAATCCCTGCTGACCTCTGGCCCTGAAGAAGCCAGAGAACCTCTGCATCCACCTCCCTGACCCCCTTGCTTCCACATCTCAGCACTTCAGTGAACACAAGAAGCAGGGGGACCCCTGCTTCAGAGGCTGACAGAGGCTGGAGGAGTGGGCATGTGGGTTTGGAGGGTGACAGACTCTATCCTGGACTAAATTCTAGCCAGGCTCCTCTGTGCCTCCCTCTAGATTCAACCTTGGCCCATGAAGACTTGAACCAACACCAACCTAGTTTCTATCAGCTCAAGGCCACAGCTCTAGGATGACTCTAGCCCCTCTTAAAGTGCCTGCCTGGAAAAACTCCAGGCTGCCTAAAAAATGTGCTGTTTGTTTCAGCCAACACCTGAAGCTAGGGACTTTTGTCTCTCAGCTGCTGGGACAGGGTCGGAGCCCACCTCTGGTAAGTGTCAGTTATCCAGCATAGGTGGGTTTCACGTACAAGACCAATCTTTCATCCTTAAAACATAAGCTCTTGTCCTTTCAGTTCTTACTCATCTGCACCCACTGCACAAGCCCTTCAGTTGCATCAAAACCTCTGGTCTGGCACCCCATTTTCTTCCAGTTCCTACTTGGTCTACATCCCCATGTTGATCTCTTGGCCTGACTACTTTAAGGCCACCATCAAAGTACTCTTTATAGAATTCAAGCTTGGTCGTGTCTCTTTTCTCTGCTTAAAACATTATGGTCTGTGCTCTGTTTGGTCAGGTCCTTTGCCAGGCCCTTCAGGACTGTTTCCCTGCTCACCTGCACAGCCTCATCTGCTGCCCTTTCCCCATTGAGCTCTATGCTTGGGAACACCAGACTGCACCTGCTTCAAGCCCGCCTGAGATTTCATGCTTCTGACCTCTGTACTGTCCTCCATCTGGAATGCCCTTCCTTCATCTTGTCCTCCTAAGAAGCTTCTATGTGGCTTTCTTCCTCTTCCTTTCCTCCAAGCCACCCTTCACATTTACTCCTTTCCAGTCAACCAGGAACTGAACCACTTGTCGGTCCATTGCCACTGTCTTGCCAACACACTGTCTTCTCTGTGTATCTTCAGGTGTCTGGGCCTCCTGTTAGGCTTAGGGTCCCTCGTGGCAGTGACTTTGTCCTAATCAACTCTTTCCCCAGCACCAGGAGCAGTGTCTGGCTCGTAGCCCAGGCCCAACTCAAGTTCTCCCTTTTTCATGGACTCTCCCTAGCTTCCTAACCTTCCCTCCTCTGAGTCTTACAACTTTTCTGTATCATTTTTGCCCTAATCGTACACGGTCTCATTTCATTAACTTTTAAAAAATGGCTAATTTCTCTGACAGATTTCATCAGAATCAGTCAGACTTTTCATTCATTTGGTAGCTATTGGCCTTGTGTCTCCCTCTCTCCTTCTGTCACTCAGCTCTCAATAAGGAGCTGGGCTCTGCGCTGGCTTGTCCATCATGTGATGGTGACAGAGGCAGCCCTAGGCAGACAAGCTTTGTACCACCTGACCCTGGGCACTCTTCCCACTTTCAAGCTGTCTCCAGGGATGTGTGCCTGATCCAAGGAGAGACATCTCACTCACAGGCTGGCCAGGTGATGTCTCTGGGCTCTGGCAAAAACACTGTCCAGTCTAGGTCAGAGAACAAGATGGTTGGATGGCATCATCGACTCAATGGACATGAGTTTGAGCAAGCTTCGGCAGATAGTGAAGGACAGGGAAGCCTGGCGTGCTGCAGCCCATGGGGTCACAAAGAGTCAGACATGACTGGGCGGCTGAAAAACAGCAGCCACCTTTAGGTCAAGTTAAGCAAAGCAGACTTTTATTCTTGGGGATTTTAATTTAGAAAACTGGTAAGGTTTTCTTGTGAGACCAATATAAAATTGTGCAAATTTGAGGTAGTGTGATACAAAAAGATGATGTGTAAACCTCACTTTATGTACCAACTTTGAAATAATGAAAATGTCCCCAGATAGGAGCCTGGAGCTATGGGGAATCCTGGCCCGAGCTTTGGGAAGCCCAGCAGCGCAAGGATCTCTCCCCCTGGTCTTGTCAACTCCCTGTCTCTGTGTCTACCTCTCTTACTGAAATCAACCTCCCTTTCATTACAGAGTTTTGAGCGGACCTGGGGACTTACTGCTCTTGTGAACTAATAATGCAACCAAAGCCCCTAGTATAGTACCTGGCGCATAGCAGGTGCTCAGTAAACAGCAGCCACCTCTTCCCCTAATTATTATTATCATCACTGTTATTGACTCTGTGGTGGCAACCAAATATTCTATACTCCTCTCACCCCTATTGGAATCTAGCCGTTCTGTGCTACAACCCTAACACACTTTTGGACGTGCGGCCTGGGGCACTTGAGCAGGTAACCTACGTTCTTCTCTTTTGAATTTTATTTATTTCCTTGTTTGTTTTTGGCTGCACTGGTTTTCATTCTGCACGTGAGCTTTCTGCAGCTGAGGTGCACAGCTTCTCTTGTTGCAGAGCACAGGCTCGAGCGCGTGGGCTTCAGGAACTGAGTGGCGCATAGGCTTAGTTGCCCCACAGCATGTGGGATCTTTCCGATTCAGGGATTAAACCTGTGCCCCCTGCACTGAGGGGTGGATTCTTAACCACTGGACCCTCAGGGAAGTCCAGGTTACCTACATTCTTCAAACCCTGTTTCCTATCTGTCAAATGAGGATAACAAGATATGTTTCCATGGATCGTTGCGCTAGACAAGATCATAAAATGCCTAACCCAGGGCTGGGCACCACACAAGCAAATAGAACATGCTAGCTGCTGCTGCTTCCTATTATTAGTATTATTGGTCATGCACTTTAAACAAAGTAAATACTTGTTGGCTGAAGTTACTACCCAGAGAAAACATTTGTTTTTCATTCTTGGTGAGAAATTTTGGAAGATGACCTGGGCAGGCACTGAGAGAATAGATGTCTTCATGCAGCATCAGGGAACTCATAAACCAGAAGAAATGGGTGGGCTGATCACTTTGCTTGAAACCCCACCCAACTAGCAGAACCTGCTGGGCTCTGAGGCCCACTGCTCCTCTGGGGGACTGTGTGCCCTCATCCCACAGTTTGCACCATTCTTCACCTCATATTATTAAAGCTCTGACGCTATCTGTGGTCATTTTGGTAGATTATCAAATCTTATTCATTCAGAATTTCTTTTGCTCATTAATACATTTCTTTCTCCCTGACTTACTAAATGTGATCAATTAACGATTTTCTTTGCAGAAGGACTGGAAAAGCCTTTGCACCTTCCCCACATAGCACTGTCATTACAGCATCACTTGGAGTCAAGGCAGCCCTGGGCATGTGTTGGGTGAGGCAGGAGTGGGTTTGGTTTGGTGCTGGAGGGAGCCAAGCAGCACATGACTGACCCTCTAAGGGGTCAAGAGAGGCTGGGGCCTGAGGAGGACCATCTTGGGTGCACTCACATGTTTTTCTTTATCCTGCCCCTCCGGCCCCTCCCTGCTAGCTATTCAAAGGCTCAGATTTTTTTTTTTTTTTTTTGCTTTTTAAAGAAAAAATACAACCCAATGTGCATTTTCCACCAGCTTGAAGGGGTGGAGAACCCCCTACCAAGACAGGGAACATGAGTTCCTGTACATGAGTTTGAGAGCTTGGGAGAGAGTCAGGCCTTGGTCCTGTGGTGGAGGGTGGCCCAGTGATCCAAATATTCTGTCAGCCCCAGCGACTGACAAGAGAGGCTGGAAGTGGATGATCCTCCGTGAGCAGAAGGTCAAGTGTGTTGTAAATAACTTGTACTTGATGAACCAGAAGAGAGAGCACCAGAGAAAACTGTTGTTTGATTTAATGATCTATGCCCCCTGAGGACGACCTGTTTTCCAGTTCCTGGGGGCTGGTTATACTGGAGAAACAAGGGACGGAAGCCCCCCTCCATCCTTGTATTTATCCTCTTCTGCCCGAGTTTCCTCTGATGGAAGTTCTGGCCGCCCTGAGGGGTTCTAGTTTCCAAAAAAGAGTTCTGCTTTTTTCCTGCAGGCCCTTGATAGTGGTACATAAATACTCAACTATTGACATTTTAATTCCTTACCACATGGTTAGAATTGGTTATGGATTTATACATTTTAATATGAGAAAAATAAGTATTTTACAAGTGATGCTGAGAAGCCAGTATTAGAAAATAAAATCTGCAGGTGGCCTGTGGCAGGACGGGGCTCACTCTGTGGCGGTGTCGGCAGCTGCCTCACTCTCCTCACCCTCTGGCTCTTCAGCAGCCGAATCTGTAGCCGGAGGCTCCTCTGTCGGTGCTTCAGGGGTCCCCCTGGGATGAGAAGAAGAGTGCCAAGGCGTTTAGTCTCGCAAGGGGCAATTACACTTTTCATTATTTCCTCATCTGAGGCGAGAAGTGTAAATCGTCCCCTATTGTTTACCCTGCATCCTTATTGAAAATCTCATCCTCTTCCGAAGACTCCTTGTCGTGCAGCTTCTGCGCCATGTTTTTCTTGCGTGTGGCATTGAGAGGCCTGTACATGTCCCGAAGCCAAAGTGGCCGCCGCCTCCAGAAGAAGCCCTCCTGGGACACGGAGAGCGACATGTTAGCTCTGCTCCCCCCCTTCCTCCGGCTACAGCACTTCATCCTTCCCAAACCCACCTGACTCTCACTTGTCCCTGAGCTCCTCTTACGCAGCAGAAATCCGAAAAAGCCCCTTGGAGGAAAGCACACACGGTTAGTGTCAGGTGCCACTTTCCATCGCTCACAGTGTATTTGCTCTGGTCTTACCAGGACTAAATGGGACTTCAGTCAGCAATCACAATGAGCAAAGTCACCACAGACCTGGAGTCTTGAGAATCACTCCATGCTGGCCTTCCAGAAGCTCTCCGGGTCTGTCCAAAATGGCCCCTGGCCCGCGTCTCTGGGGAGACCTGTGCATGTGGCTTAGCATGGCTTACAGGCACAACTGCAGCCCCACTCACATTTCTCGGCCCTCAGCCAACTGCCCTCGAGCAGTGAAAACACTGCACAACCGTGCCGGGAAGATGCACATTCCTTCCAGAAGCATTCCACACTAGCCCCCTTTGGACTTAGTCTCATGTGCAGCATTTGCTGGGGTGGGGTGGGGAGGGGAGGAGGTGCTTCTGTTTTCTTAGCTGCTCTATCTGATAAACTGCATCACAGCAGGTAAACCCTTAAATCCAACTAGCAAAGTTACCTAGCACTCTGACTTGCATATGGCAGGTTGTCACTGAGGTGTGAGTGAATTGTGAAATCAGTTTAAAGGTTATGACCAGCAGGAAAACTCAAAAGTATTCTTTTTGAAAACAAACAGAATTGAAAAAAAACAAAAACAACGGTGTGCACACTGAGTTTGTATCAGAAACCACTTCTGTCCATAAAGTCCGTGTGTACTGAGCTGTGACATAAAATGCAGCTCGCAGCCTAAGCACAGTGTGATCACAAGGCGCCCTCGGTGGAAAGGCACCACCTTCTTTTTGATAATCACTAGCAGCATGACCATGGGGCTGGATGTTTTCTCTTTCTCCATTTTTTTTTTAAATTATAAAAGGAAAAGACAAACTACTGTCTAAAGTTTCTTCCAGTTAAAACTTTATGAGGTTTGGATAAAGGGAATATGGAGTGGGGGCTGAAAACCAGGAAGATGAAAAGGGGAGCTTTCCTGCCCCTTTACAGAAAGAACACATAATTTGTTCTACTTTTCATCAGTTTTGAGTAAAGCTAGCCCCCAAATCTCTAACTTCCTTACCCCAGAGCCTCCAAGAACACCTCTGACCTGGCCTGATGCCTACCACCAGCTGGAACAGGTACAACCAAAACCTCTCCCCGTCCACCCTCTTTCCTTAAAGAACAAGTGAAACCAGATGAATCCGTCCCAGTCCTGTGCTAGGCCTGATTTGGTTGGGGAGCTAGTTCTGATGATAAATAAATTAGTGTAAAGCACTAGGGTAAATAAAGCTTCTTCCTGCCTTTGGTGAGGAGACTAAAATAGATGAATTCTCAGCTCTCCTCTAGTTCTAAAATTCTACTTTAAAAGACCAATATTTACCTTCTGCTTCCTTCTTCCTCTGATGCTGTTCTATGAGAATAAATCTGTTTTAAAAGAAAACATGATCACAATCATGACAGCCACTTCCAAATCTTTATTCATTACTTTTTATTTTCAGTCTTATCTACCCAGTGAGTTGATAACATTTTTAAGGACAGGAATTCTATCCTGTTTAAGAATCCTTTGACTCTCCCACAGTACCTAACCTTGGGTGTTGCATGCAGCTGGTGATACATTTTATGGACCATTTTAGATCATGTTCAACAGATAATTCCTAACAAAAAACTTTCAGAAGTAGGGGAAGAAAATAAAAGTATTGACCAGAAAACTAAGTACTGTTTAAAATCAAGAACAGGGGGAAGATGCCTATCATTACTATTACTATTGATCACTGTGGAGGAAAGGGGTCCTAATCAGTACAGTAAGAAAAAGGGAGAATTGGAAAGGAAGAGATAAACATATCTGCATATGAATGATGGACTTTAGAAGACCAAAGGAATCAACTGAAATTTTAAGTACTGTAAGTAATATGAGAATTCAGTAAGACAGCTTATGTACAAAATCAAGAGATCAACATATAAGCTTTAATAGCTTTCCTATATAGCACAAATAACTAGCTAATAGAAAAAAAGATCCCATTTATAATATCAATAAGAATGCATAAAGTAACTAGGAATAAACTCAACCAAAAATGTGTAAGACTTAGTAATGAGAATATTAAAACCTTCCTGAAGGACATTGAGAAGAAATACATACGTGGCATAGGATTCTATCTTCTGAGAATACTGTAAGGAGGTCAATTCTCCTCAAATTAACCTACAAATTTGATGCAACCCTATTTATATCCAAGGAAATTTTTAAACAAAACCTGGTGAGCTGACATTTGATAGAGAATATATGCAAGAACACTTATGAAATGTATGAAAAAGAAGATCAAAGATCAGGGCCTTACCCTAACAGATAAAAAATTACATGTTATAGAGTACCTGGAGTTAAGCAGTGTGATATTGAAAAGATAACTGGATCAATAGAATAGAATCCAAGTAAAGACAGTATTTTAGACAGGGGAGAAAGAATGAACCATTCAGTGAAAGATTTGAAAACAAGTGGATCTTCACGTACTGGGGAAAAGGTTAGATGCCCTACCTCAACCACACTAAAAATCAAATACAGCAAGTTCTAGACAGATTATCAAAGTACTTGAAGATGGTGTTTAGAGATGATTTTTGTGTCATGAGGTGACAAAGGCTTGGCTAACAAAACCTGCTGCACATGAGCTATGAGGAGAGGCTGGCCCGTTGTGGTGGTAGACTGTCAATGCCTCTCCTACTCTTCTCAGCCCTCAACCCCTTCTCCTCTGGATTGTCTGTCTTCTTCCTGTTGATTTATAAAACCCCGGGAAGTTCCCTAGTGGTCCAGTGGTTAGGACTCCGCGATTTCACTGTGGTGACCTGGGTTTGATCCCTAGTCGGGAACGAAGATCCTGCAAGCACAGCACGGCCAAACAAACAAAAACAACCCCCCACCACAAACCTCTTTATGATAAATAAATATTTGCTTTCATTGAATTTCAGCATTTCAAAACCTCCCATTGTTTCTGTCTCTAAGGTGACAAGACAAAAGAGCAGAGTAGGAAGCACAGGCTTTGCAGTCGGGTGATACTGGCTCCTGCTTTTGGTTTGACCACTGGGGCCTCATGCTGATTTCCTTCCTCTATGAGAGAGGGACAGTAATACCATCTTCACAGGATTGTGGGGATTCAGTCAGACAATACACAGAAAATTCTTCATCTTCCACTTGGCATGAAGCAGTGCTAAGTTGTTGTCACAGACCAGGTGGTCAGATCCATCAAAGACTCTGCTCGTGGTACCAGGCCCTGAAGCTGCTTTCCTGCCACAGGATTATTAAAATACTGCTTTTCTTCTAATACTTTTATGCAGTATTTTTTCACATTTATGGAAACATGTTTTTTTTAAGGTGAGAAATGGGGATCTGCTATTATTCTTCCCCCTCCCCACAAATAGTCAGGCAGCTTATTTGATTATCATTTATTCATTTTCTTCCACTGATTAGAATATTAAAACATGACAAATATCTTAAGAACACATGGCTCTATTTCTGGACTCTCTATGTTACTTCAAATAAATATTCCATTGCATTATTCCTCACTGTGGAACTGATAAAATGCCTCATCTCTGTTCTGTCAAACACCATTAGTGTCTAATCATGGGAAAAACATTGCACAGTCCCTGTCCTCAAAAACCTTGTAAGTGGGAAGAGGAACAATGAAATGGTATAAATAAATACAAATGCAAGGTTAAACTACATGGAAATTAAAAACAGTATAAAGAGGATGTTATAGGACTTCCTGGATGGCACTAGTGGTAAAGAACCTGCCCGCCAATGCACAAGACCTAAGAGATGTGGATTTGATTCCTGGGTCAGGAAGATCTCCTTGAAGAGGGCATGAAAACCCACTCCAGTATTCTTGCTTGGAGAATCCCAAGGACAGAGGAGCCTGAAAGAGCTACAGTCCACGGGGTCACAAAGAGTCAGACACGACTGACGACTTAGCTTGCACATACAGATATACTAAACAAGCAAAGGCCATATGCCACCTGGAGATGCAGAGAGTACAGTCTGGGCAATGGCCAACTACTAGCAAGCTGACCCCATGCTAAGTCCCCAGACCCCATGCTAAGTCCCCAACCTCCTAGGCTCAGAAATTACTCTTCCCCATCAAGAGAGAACTTACATCTTCCTCTTGTGGCAGTTTCACTTTATCAATAATATCACAGGACTGATCAAAAATCAGAATGCCAAATTCTTACTTGACAACGAGAAATACATCTGTTCTACAGACAGGGCACCTGTGTCTACACAACCAGAGAATTAAACTTCTGTAAAGACAGGCCTCCAAGGCACGCCAAAGCACAACCACACACTCAAAAGGCTACTTGGTGAGAAGAGAATTAGAACCAAAGGAACCAGCTGAATCCCACATTAAATGAAAAGGCCTGTGGTAGCCAGATGCTCTCAACAGGTGCAGCCTGGCGATGGGCCTGACTCTTCAGTGATGCTGCCTCAGGTGCCATCTTTACTCTTGGACAAGGTGAGGCTGGGCATGGCCCATGCTGCTCCCTCTTCACCTTTTCTGTACTTTCACTACTGACCAGCCCTCCTACAGACCGACACATTTCTCTTTAGCAGACACATCATTTCAGGTTTTATTCAGGTCTGACAGACCAGGAAGCCATTGGTCCTTACACTGCTCTGCTCCCCTCCATGAGGCTCTTAGGGAGCCACCTTCTAAAGAACTGTTTACCACTTTTGTTAAGTTCTGAAGTGAGGGGACTGCTTTGCTGGGGCCCCTAAGAACTGGTGACAGGCCTCACGGGACTAGGTCAGGACGGCTGGATTATTCAGGGAAGTCTGTTTGAAGAAAGATGAACTTGAGTTGGCTTTGGAGAGTCACAGGACTCCCACAGGCAAAGTAAAATAAAGGAATTTATTTTGTCTGCGCAAACGTGCAGGTAAAAGCAGGAATGGGTACGGTGTAACAAGCACATGGTGAGGGGCTGCTTTGGCTGGAATAGAGGGCTGCCAGGACAGAAAAAAAGATACAGCAGATTGACTTGGTAGAGTAGAATCAAGATGGTCAGCTCATTAAAACTGCTCTTTTGGACTTCCCTGGTGGTGCTGTGGATAGGAGTCTGCCTGCCAGTGCAGGAGACATGGGTTTGATCCTGGTCCAGGAGGACCCACATGCCGCAGAGCAAGCTAAGGCTGTAAGTGGCAACTACTGAGCTCCCACGCATGGGGCCTGCCCTGCAGCAGGCCACCGCCACGGGAAGCCTGTGCGCGGCAGCAGAGAGAAGCCCCGCCGCGTGTCTCGGCCAGAGAAAGCCCACACAAAGCAACAAGGGCCCAGGGCCGCAAGAATAAACCAATGAGATTGTAAAACATAAAATAAACACGCTAAAAACCCAAAATCTTTCTCTTAGTGTTAGCAACTGCCTGTTGGGGAAAGTAATAAACCATTATGTAACTGAATGAAAGGTCAACAGGCTAGCTCCAGGAAGATGCTGCTCCAAACATGACATACTTCCGGGTGGCCTGATGCAGGATTCTTACCTGTAGCGCTCTAATGGAACCTATTTACACAATGCCTAACACACCGGAGAAGACGGCTGCTGAGAAGATCTAAGCGACGATAAGATCCTTTTAGCCCTCCTAGGGTGACCGATAGCTACGTGAGGGTGGAAATGATGTATCTCTCATCACTGCAGCCAACAAGGGAGAGAAATCAAGGTAGCATGAGAGTGACTGTGAGTACATCAAATCCACATGGTGTTCTGAGTCAAAGAAATGTTACTATCGTGTCAACTCTGGCTTCTTATAAACTTAACTGGTCAGAAGAGTCTAATGGCTTATTATCTTGGATTCAGTTCCACAGATATTTCCTGTGAGTGGAGCTCCTGTGAAAACCCTGGGAACACACTCTTCAATAAAAGAACAAAATATATCTCAGTCCTCGTGACTGAAGAGGAGTATCAAGTACTAGCAGGTGGAAAGGTGGCTTTGATTTCTCGGGTTGGGGGTTCTGAATCTGAATTAATAATCATCCTTACCTCAATGAGACAGAACATTATAATCAAAAACATCACTACTACAGTCACAGATATTGCCAAGATGAGTTTGTTGTTATAGCCGTAACCTGGGACTTCTTTTGTGAGCTAAAAATAAAGAAATAAATAACAAGTTTTTAAAAACAGGGAGCTGGAAAGGATGAAAGCTGAGTATTCTTAAACCTATTGTAAACAATAGCTAGCTATTCTTAAACTACTAGAAGACTCCAGCCTTTTCAGGTGGATAGCTTTTATAAGAAGAAACCAAATTTAAAGTTATTGATCTCATTGTTAGCATTATCTTCTACAATGTATTTATCTTGTGTCCTCTTCTCATCTACCCTAGGAATAGTGGCACATTCTCTGAATGAGCAGAGAGGGAGGTCACTGTCTTAGCCAGCTTGGTCGAGACAAGGTACAGACCAGGAGCCCCAGGCTTCCTGCTTGGGCACTTTAATGGCATGACCTGAACTGAGTGGAAGCCCAGGTCCCAGGTTTCAGGCATGATCCTCACCTCACTGGACTCCGGTTCTTTCTGTTCACTCTGGGCTTCTGTGCTCTCATTGATGTAGTTCTCAGTTCTCCACTGGTCCGTATCCCATTCTGCCTTGGACACCTTTATTTCTTGCTGCTCGCTGAGAAGCTTCATCAAGAGGCCTGTTCTGGAGATGAGTTTGGCGCAGGCCAGCTGCACGTGGGTCTCAGAGCAGTCCATCTTCAAAGTCCTGATGACGTGAGCAATGAGCTTTCTCACGTCGTTGTTGGGGATGAGAGATCGTAGCTGCTGGTTAAGCTGACTTTCAAACTGATCACCTGGGGATGCGAGCACTGGGAAACTGACACTTGGGGGCTTAGAGGCGAGCTCAGTGCCCACGTTGTGGTACTCCCATTGTGTTTCGTTCGTGTGTTGAACAGGTGGCATGAAGTCTGCAGCAACAGTAGAATGTGCACTGGAGACATTATTACGGGCAGCAATTCCAGGTCTTGTTTCTTTTGGCCGAGTAATGTTTCCCGAAGAGACAACTGCTCCAAAAACATGTGGAGTATTGTTCACTGAACCAGAGTTGTCTTTAGGAGGGTCTGAAAGAGAATATAATTCTGAAAAAGGATTTTCCTGAGGATCCAGTAATCCTGAAGATGAAAACCCCTCTCGTGGAGGGGAATTGATGAGACTCCTCACTGCAGAGAACAGAGGCCTTCTGGCCAGCATCATCCTACTGAGTGAACCTTTCTTTCTCAGCTTTCGGCTTATTTTGGCCTTCGGTGTTCTGTGGGCCACCCGAGAGCGAGTTTTATGGAAGAGGTATTTTTTTCTGGAATGTGAGACTGGTTTGGAAGACTTCATGTTTCTCACTCTAGCATCAGCATCTTCTAAAACAAAAATGGTGTAGGATAAGTCTTTTGATTTGTTTTTAACCTCAGGTTGGGGTTTTGGAGGGAGGGGGTCAGAAGGCCTGCCCCGAGAGTACTGTTTCAGGAAAGAAGAGACTGCTGCCTTGTGTTCCTTTATGAACGAAGGCTCTGTGTTGAAGGAGTTCCCCACTAACTTCCTGGGCCTTTGCACCATGTCCAGTTCATCCAGTTCCCTTGGGGACGGCCTCCTGAGCCTTCTTTCTTTGGCAGTGTTCTCCACAAATGGCTGGGCATTCTGTTTCTTCTCGCTGCTCTCATCTCCTGCATCTTTGAAGTGCCTTTTCTGTAGGCCCCTTGGGCGCTTGAGGACCCTGTCCACTCTCAGCAGCCTTTGCCCTGGGCTCTCAATCTCAGCTAGACTGTTTTCCTGTAGTTGGGCTCTTTCCAGTTTCTTCGGAAAGATTTGGCGTTTAAATTTGGGGCCCAAAAGATTGGCACGGATAAGCATGGCCGTTTTTTCTTTCTTTTTAACCTCATCAATTTTTTCTTGAATTTCTGCATCTAACAAGTTTTCCAGAAAATAGAGTTTCCTCAATTTATTTTTATAAGTTGAATTGTTGTATATAGGCTTAACAGAAGGGTTCTTTGTATTGTTTTTGAAATGGCCCAAGGGCATATCTCCCTCATGGGCATTTGTAAAAAGAAGTTGAATGAAGGGCAATAATGTTGATTCAACATCTTCTAGATTTCCCTCTGAGAAATAAGGCAGTATGTAATTCAGTGCGCTGATCACATCGCTTTCATCATTAAAGTCCAGCTGCTCATTCATGAAGGCTGACAGACTGACAGCACTTATGTCTGAGGACGCCCTCTCGGGTTCAATAGTCAGTTCCGTGCTGGTGTTCTTCTTCCGGGCTTGTAACACCTTCATGAACGATCCTTCTGCATTCCCTATAGATGTATTTTCATCTGTCAAAAGAGAAGAGACTGTTTTTGATAACTGAAGACTGATGGGAGAGCTTTTTGTCAGTTCACAGTCATGTATCCCAGACAAATAAATTAGGCATCAGCAAATGTTTGACTGCCACTTGGAGGGGAAAGAAAGAAAGCCAAACATAAGTCAATGATTGACAATAATAAAAGGTGAAAAAAGATATCTCTTTTGAAAAAGTGACTATCTGCTCAGAAGATTCTGTGGCATGAAATATAGTAATTATATTTAGGATCACTCGACTGGCTCCCAAGGGACTGTCAGTTAGACAAAGATTCCTCTACTCAGATCTACTGTGACTCCTCACGGTCACATACCCCATCCTGTCCTGCCTCAGACGCAGAGGAGCGTAAGGTCTCCTCTCTCTACCTCTTCGGTGCACTTGCATTCTTACTATTATCACAGATGACCATGACCACAACTGCTGCCGGCAGGTCATCATCCGAACATGTCCTCCACCCAACCATTGAGTCCTTTGCTCAGTCCCTGCCTCCATATATTCCAGCCCCTAGAACAGAGGGCTCTATGTCCAAAACTCTTATGTCACCCTGGCTCTTTGCTGAAATTTAGGCAGGGATCCATTAGCTAACAGATTTGCCTATATGCCAGTGTGGAATGTTCAACAGATCAATAGAATAATACTTGAAGTATTATAATGCAGAAGGGAAAAGCAAATTTTGTCAGTTGCCTACTTTGCTTTCATTTCTTTTCACTTCTAATATTTCCAGTGTTTTGGGAAACCATCCAAAGCTTCTGACTGTACGAAGGTAATATGTACCATTGTGTAGCTGGGCTTTTCTTCCAAAAGGATTAAAAATTTTAGTGGTGGTGGCAGGGGTCAAAGGAGGACATAAGGGTCATGTGAGAGGAGGGCATGGGTGTGCAGAGAGCCTAAAATCGGAGACAGGAGATCTGGGTACTAGGCCATCGTACTTAATACCTCAGATCTTGCTTTTCCGCATCTGCAAAAGGAGATTAAAAATGCCTTTTCTGGCCCACTTCTGGGGGAGAAGGGAGTAATATAATTGGTAAAAACAATTGTTTTGAGGAGTTCCCTGGTGGTATAACGGTTAGGATTCGGTATTTTCATTGCTATGGCCCAGGTTCTATCCCTGGTCAGGGAACTGAGTGGCCAAAATAAAAAATTTTTTTGAAAAATAAGCAAAAATTGTCTTTATATAAATAACAAAGTGTCATTATTTATGATGTGTTCTAGACCACTGATAGACCCCTGTATTCAAGCTATCTGGGCATCAAAGCACATTTTGGAGATTATCAAGTTAGTGCCAACAAATCTAATATATAGAAAAATAGTCAGAAGCACCTGAGTGTTTTGTGGATAGAAAAGTTTGAGATTCAGAACAAGTTCAGAGCTGGACAGTCTAAGAATAAAATTGTTCTTCCCCAGTAGCGCTAGTGGTAAAGAACCTACTTGCCAATGCAAGAGATGTAAGAGACACAGCTTTGATCCCTGGGTTTGGAAGAACCCCTGGAGGAGGGTATGGTAACACACTTCAGTATTCTTGCCTGGAGAATCTCATGGACAGAAGAGTCTGGTGGGCAACAGTCCATAGAATCTCAAAGAGTCAGACATGACTGAAGCAACTTAGCACACACACAGTGCACCCATCCTTTAGAAGAGCTAGCTAGCAGCTTCTGGTGGTGGAACCAGAAACTCTCAGGCTCCAAGTAGGCCATAAGACAGCATCACTTGTACTCTTTTATAATATTATAAAAATAGACAAAATATCAAAAATATGTTTACATTTATCCTGTAAGACAAAGGATACTGGAGACCTAATGTATATAGAATCAGTTTACAAACTGATGCACTGTATGAATAAGTTCTCATTTGCAGACAGCACAGAATACACTATGTGGCCACTCCTGTTAATGCCCTTCCCCCTTCCATTCCTTTCTCTTATTCTTTTATGTATGTATATCAGTTACGTTATTAAGTTAACAATGTAACTAAGCTATTATTAGCTTAATAATGTAACCAAGAATCTGATTTTTAGTAAGGGAGTAGTTCTTAGAAATTTAGGGATGTGGAACTCTGAATGAATAAAAATAATGCAATTACATTATTAATTTTAAAATTTATCATCACTGGTTAAAAATAAAAATTAAAGAATTAGAAGAAAATTTAAAAATTATCATCAGGCAATTCAGACTCACCACAAAATGTGATGTTTGTCAGGCAATCACTGTCACAATGCAGTTTGACTGTCTTGCAGACAACCTCAATAGTATCTTTAAATTGGCAGAGGCAGCAGGCCATACGGATAGGTAAGATCCTATAAATGGAAACGCAGAGAATCAAATTTGTGGTAAAGGAGTTACTCGAGTAGGTGGAAGAGGCAGGCCAAAGCCACCACAGGCCAGTGCATAAAGGAGTTAGTTCTTGGGGCATATGGATTGGAGAACTGGATACAGATCAGTTGGCCAGTTGCTGCTCTTGACTGCTGAAAATAAATATAGAGGCCAGAGGTGCCCAACAGAAGGATTAGGGTAGCAGTGGGGATGGTATGCCTAGAAAAAAGGGAATAGGGACTAGAACTGGGTGACATTGATCTGTAGTTTAATTCAGAAATATCTCCTTCCAACCCAAAAACTTCATTTTGGGTTGACAATACACAGAAGTAGGCAGACTTCTAAGAAGAATCTGAAGTCCCCAACTTCCGGAGTCTCTTTATCAATTCCTATTTATGAGTAATAAATACATTAGAAATTACTCTAGGAATAAAAAAACATTGTGTGGTTAAACAATAACAGAGATCTCATTGACCAAATCTGGACAATCTGAACATTCAAAAGAATAACATCATTATAACAAGTTATAATTAAAGAAGAGTACATGAATTCATAATGATATTCAAAAAGAAAAGTGAGGGAGCTCTGCTTTATAGAATAATAACAGGTAATAAATGAAAAAGGAATGATGAAATTAGAAAAGTGTCATTTTACAACTATCAGTGTAATAGTTGATTCAGACAAGGATTATCACTGATGCACAGCTGGATGAAGAGTTGTCTGGAAGTAGGATCTTCACTGATCCCAAAGTTCAGCCCACGTATTATTTATCAATTACCAAGGGGGAAAATAACTTTACAATGGAGACATATGTAAGATATCACCTTAATCAAGTGATCAGACTTAGCATTAGGCCACTTGAAGTGATGAAGTAGGAAGGATACATCACTTACATAGTATTCTTCTCCAAAATGTTTACTTTGAATCTAACGAGGAAACAGCCAAGTCCAGATTGTGGGGCAAATTACAAAACAACTGGCTTAGACTCTTCAGAAATGCCAATGTCACAAAAGACCCCCCCCCACCAAAAAAAAAAATAGCAGGGAAACATTCTACATTAAAGGAAACAAAGACATGCCATGCAGTGCTAGTCTTTGATTGGACTCCACATCAAAACAAAACAGACTGAAAGAATATTATTGGCTTCAGGTCAAGATGAAGTAGCAAGGACCAATTTAAGCTTTTACCTGAAACAATGAAAAAATCAAATAAAACATACGAAAAACAATTTTCAAGAAACTGGACCTCAGGCAATCAAGTTCAGTGAGCCCCAAGAGATGGGAGATAAATGAAGTGACCCTTATGATTGCCCTAGCTTACTTCTTTAAGAGAATTTCCAGGTCATGGTACAGGGTACCCTGTCACAGACTGGCAGACTCCCCAGCTAAAGAAATGGAGCCGAGAATCTGGGAAAACCAAGGTGATGGGAGTTCACAAAGCAGAGGACTAGAGGGTAAAGAAGTACAGACAAAGAACTCCGGAGGTATGCAGAGGGAGCTCTTAAGTATTCAACAAAGTATTGGTCAGTGCATTTGTGTGAGGAATTAACTGATGCCAGGAAAAGAACCACATGAAAGGATTAATAATAACTGCAAAATTCTGGAAAGCAATTATCTTTCAATAAAAAATAAATTTTAAAAAATGAATAAATTTTTTTAAAGTAAAAAAAAAAAAGAGATTAACTGGATATTACACAGGGTTGGGAATAGCATCTGTTCCTACAAGTCAGAAGGGAAAACCTCATGATACACAGAAAAGACTTGTCTCAGTAGTTGCAAATAATGAATTCTACACTAAAGGTTACTTGAAGTGCTACCTAATGAATCTTAAAAGTTAGACCTAAAAGAATAAAATTGTTTTGAGTAACTTAACTTAACCCAAAACAAAGCCCAAGCATTTTATAAAAATATATAGCACACAATAAGCTAAAAAATTCACAATGTCTAGAATCATATGAAAAATTACCAGGCATGCAAATAAGCAGGAAAATGTGACCTATATTGGGGAAAAAAGCAATCAATCAAAACTAACTCATTATCTATACAGATATTAGAATTAGTAGAAAAGGACATTTAAAAAATTATAATATATGAAAAAGCTGGCTGACTGGTTGACTGCTGGCTGGCTTAAAACTTAACATTCAAAAAACTAAGATCATGGCATGTGGCCCCATTACTTCATGGCAAATAGAAGGGGAAAAAGTGGTAGCAGTGACACATGTTCTTTTCTTGGACTCCAAAATCACTGCAGATAGTGACTGCAGCCATGAAATTAAGACACTTGCTCTTTGAAAGAAAAACTATGACAAACCTAGACAGCATATTAAAAAGCAGACACACCACTTTGCCAACAAAGGTCTTATATAGTCAAAGCTATGATTTTTCCATTAGTCATGTATGGATGTGAGAGGTGGACCATAAAGAAGGCTGAGAATTGAAGAACTGATGCTTTTGAATTGTCGTGCTGGAAAAGACTCTTGAGAGACCCTTGGACAGCAAGGAGATCAAACCAGTCAATCCTAAAGGAAATCAACCCTGAATAGTCATTGGAAGGACTGATGCTGAAGTTGAAGCTCTAATACTTTGACCACCTAATGTAAACAGCCAACTCATTGGAAAAGAAGGATTGAAGGCAAAAGAAGAGGGTGACAGAGGATGAGATGGTTAGATTGCCTCACTGACTCAATGGGCATGAATTTGGGCAAACTCTGGGAGATGGTGAAGGACAGGGAAGCCTGGCAGTCTGCAATCCATGGGGTCGCAAAGAGTCAGATACAACTTAGCGACTGAACAACAGCAACAACAACATACATGAAAAAGGTTACAACAACTGTATTTCATTTGTTACAAAACCCAGACTAAAGACTGAAAAGGTTAAGTAGAGGCATGGAAGATGTAAAACTGATCCAAATTGAATCTATTTTTTTAAAAAAAATATTATAGTGTGCTGTTTATTACATAAGTAAAATATATGAAAACAATACCACAAAGGCCAGGAGGGAAGAAATAGAAGTACCCTATTGTAAGATTCCTATACTATTAATGAAATTGTGTAATACCATTTGAAGATAGACTGTGATAAGTTAAAGATGCATACTGTAAACTATAAAGCAATCATTAAAATAACAAAACCTGAGTTATAATGAATTAGCCAACAAAGGAAATAAAATAATAAAATGTACTCAGGCTGAAAGTAGGAAGAAAAAGGAAAAAAGAAAAAGAAAGTACAGATGGGACAAATAGAAAGCAAATGGCAAGACAGTAGATTTGAATGTAGCAATATCAATAATTACATTAAATGTAAATGTTCTAATCACCCTAATTAAAAGAATCACACTAGACAAAAAAGCAAAAGCCAACTATATACAAGAACTATCTTCAATAGAAAATAAAAGATTAAAAGGGTAGAAAAAATTATTCTATGCTAACACTAATGAAAAGAAAACTGGAGTGGATGTATCACTTTAAGACAAAGTCAGTGTCAAAGCAAGAATATTATCAGGGATAGAGAATGTTACTTCATCACGATAGAAAGGTCAATTAATGAATAAGAAATTACCTAAAAAAATATCCATTCAGTAACAGCTTCAAAATATATGAATGGAAAATGAGAGTGGCAAGGAGAAACAAAAAAAAAAATCTACAATTACAGTTAGGGATTTCAACATTCCTCTCTCAATAATTAACAGAACAAGTAGATAAAAAACCAGAAAGGACTAGAAGACATGAACAACGCTATCAACCTACTTGACCTAATTGATATTTATAGAACACTCCACCCAAATAAAGAAAATCAGTCCTGAATATACATTGGAAGGATTGACGCTGAAGCTGAAACTCTAGTACTTTGGCCACTTGATGCAAAGAACTGACACATTGGAAAAGACCCTGATGCTGGGAAAGATTGAAGGCAGGAGGAGAAGGGGACCAGAGGATGAGATGATTGGATGGCATCACCAACTCTACGGACATGAGTTTGAGTAAGCTCTGGGAGTTGCTGATGGACAGGGAAGCCTGGCATACTGCAGTCCATGGGGTTGCAAAGAGTCAGACATGACTGAGCGACTGAACTGAACTGAAGGTGTGTAATAAACTGTCACAATAAGGACCTACAGAAATAGTTTTTTAAACTGCAAAAAATTAAAACTTGACCCCTTCCCTCACACTATACATGAAAATTAAATGGATCATAGACCTAAATGTAACTATACAACTTCTGGAAGAAAACACAGGAGAAAATCTTTGCGATTTTGGATTAGGCAATGGGATCTCAGAAGAAGATTTTTTAGGTAAGACACAAAAAAGCACAAACCATACAAGAAAAATTGCTAGAGTTCTTCAAAATTTTAAAACTTCGGGTCTTCAGAGACACTTTAATAGAATGAAGGTAAGTCACAATAAGAGAAGATATTTACTAAACACATATCTAAGAGAAAGGACTTATTTTTCAGTGCTCTATAAAGTAGTCTTAAAACTCAATATAAATATCCAATTAAAATGGATTTGAACAGACACTTCATTTTAAAAGATATCTGCACATGAATAGACACTCAACAGCATCAGCTATTAGAGAAATGCAAATTAAAGCACAATGAGATTTAACCACACACCTACTGCTGCTGCTGCTGCTAAGTCGCCTCAGTCGTGTCCGACTCTGTGCAACCCCATAGATGGCAGCCCACCAAGCTCCCCGTCCCTGCGATTCTCAAGGCAAGAACACTGGAGTGGGTTGCCATTTCCTTCTCCAATACATGAAAGTGAAAAGTGAAAGTGAAGTCGCTCAGTCATGTCTGACTCTTAGCGAGCCCATGGACTGCAGCCCACCAGGCTCCTCTGTCCATGGGATTTTCCAGGCAAGAGTACTGGAGTGGGGTGCCATTGCCTTCTCCGACACACCTACTTGGAAGGCTTAAATTTTTTAAAACAAATATAAGGATCAGGTGAAGATGTGAAGCAATCCCAACTCTCAGACATTGCCAGTGGGAATGCAAAATGGAGCAGCCACTTTAGAAAACAGTTCAGCAGTTTCTTTAAAAGTTAAATATGCACTTAGCATATGATATAGCAATCCCACCCTTAGGTATTTTACCCCAAAGAAGTGAAAATATATATTTGCACAAAACATATGCTCACACATGCATGTGAATATTTTTAGATGTTTTGTTCATAACAGCCAAAAAATGAAACAACTCAGCTGATGTTCATCAACTGATAAATGCATAAACAAACTATATATCCACACAACTGGAATACTACTCAGCATTATTGCTGAGGAATGAACTACCAATAGGTGCAACTACATCAATAAATCTCCAAGGAGACTGGCTAAGTGAAAGGAGACAAAAACAAAAAGGCTACAGACCACATAATTTCATGTTTAAGATACTATGGAAAAGGCAAATTATAAAGACAAAAATCAGATTGGTGGTTGCCAGGGGCTGGTAGTGGGAGGAGGAGACTGACTACAAAGGGACATGAGGGGTCTTTGCGGGGGTGCATAAGTTTTCTATATCTCAAATGTAATGGTGGCTACAGAACTATAAGTCTGTCAAAACACATCAAACTGTATATTTTTAAACAGTGAACTTTATTAAATGAAAATTATACATCAATAAACTTAAAAAAATAATAAACCTAAAAATACACAAGTGAGTGAAAATAAATATAATAAAAATCAACTTACAGTTTTTCCAATTCAAGGGTCATCATGAGAATGCTTTCAATTGTTGTAAGTGACACTTGTGTTGTTCCCATGTCTCTGAAGGGGAAGCCCAAACATGTAAGATATAAACATATAATATAAACACAAATTCTAAACTTAAAATTTTTAACATGTGATTACTTCAATTCTGACTTCTTGTATGCCCTAGATAATTCCAGGGAACTCTTATTGGAGAAATTTAAATTTGCATCATCAAACTAATGACCCTGGTGCTGAACAGTAAAATCTTTTTTTATTATCCTGACTTCTCATTTTCAATTACATCTACCTCTCTTGATAAAATAATGTACCCCTTATTCCTTTTTGCTTTCTGGGATAAATAATATTCCTACATGCATCTACATGTTCCATATCTATGTGTGTTCTTCAACACTGCTCTCTTCCTCTGCTGGCTGTCTTACTCATATACATTCTTTAACTTTTTTCTTTGCCAATGACTCTTGTATCAATAACCTAGTTAAAATTTAAATTATGACTTTTTAGCCAAAATACTCAACCTGTGACAAAAGTAAGAAAGAGCAGAAATCATCTCAAGGGCCATGAAAATGCTGTAATACTCACAAATATTTTAATGCTGGCAATTTAAAAAGATATGAATCTTCCACTGCTGTCAAAGGATTACGATTGAGAATTCTGAAAAATGGAATGAAATTAAAATTGTCCACATTTTCAATGACGTCCAAGAAAGTTTACATTCATTTTTGGGGCATATAGAACTTGGTAAAAAAAATAATCTTTTTCTGTCTTTACCTATAAATCATCCTTAGAATCCATAAAGTACTATTCCTTTGGGAATTACCCAAGTCTCTAGATGATAAGAAGGAGAAGAGAAAGGAAAAAAACAGAAAAATAGTGGATAGCCAAGAAAAAAATACGCCAAAGAACTTTTCAGGCCAAAAACCCTAGAAGAGACTATGCTGGTAGGAAGCCCTTGCTCCATAAGAAATACTATTTCTAAAGGCCTCCATAATTCAAGGTGTTTTTCTTTCATTTCTAGAAAATTTTTAGTTTCATAGTTTAAACTACCCAATTAAAGACAAAAATTGGACAGTTCCTTGATTTTGGAACCAAAGAAGAAGAGATAAATACAAGAGGAACTGGTGAAGGTCATATTCTCATCACGTGGTTCCATGTGTATCCTGGATCATAGCCTTTGCTACAGTGTATGTAATCACCTGTTTGCCTGTCAGTCTCATAGGTTGTCAACAACTTGAAAGCAGTGACCACACTATATTGTCATTGTTATCCCTGTGCCTGACAGAGTGCCTAATATTTACTAGGTATTTAATAAATATTTGTTGAATAAATAAATAACATTTTATTTATATATCAAAAAAATGAAAAAATTAATTTTTTGGAACAAAGTTTTTTTTTTCAAAGTTTTATCCCAAAATACTGGAATAGATTTTCTTCTTAGTTCTTTAAAACAAATAAGGAAAAGGAAAACCAAGAAGAAACAGGAAGAAAGGAAAGAAAATCTGTCTTTAGGGTAACTCCACCCAAGAATCACTGGCATATTTTTGCAGAATATTATAAAGCTAATTATCACAACTAACATCTGTTGGGTTGCTAGGCATCTGTGATTGGCATTTAACATTTAATCCTCTTAGTAACCTTATGTGATCAACTTATTACCCCATTTTACAAATGAGGAAACTGAGGCACAGAGAAGTTATATAACTTGTTCTAAGTCATCAAACTAGTAAGAAGTAGAACTGGAATTTGTACTCAGTTCTGATTCCAAAGCCTGTGTTTAACCAACATGGGAAAAAAAAATGAGGGATTAAAAATATCTGTTATGTTAACCTTAATTGTGAGAACACTAAATATGGAAATACCTTTTCAAATTTCATCTATCCATTTGGGAAAGCCTCTATGAGAATTGCACTTTCTCTTTTTCTTTCTTTTCCCTAATCATCTCCCATGATCAAATATTTAATTAGCCTATGGTCACTGAGATTTTAAACAATGGTGCAGGCAAATCAGAAAAACTGATAGAGTAAGGACATCTGAAAATTCATCCCTCCATAAAAGCAATGACAACAAAACTGACCAAAAAATGGTCAGAATCAACTTTTCCTGAACTCTGGAAATTTAACCAACAGGCCTGCAGCAAACCAGGGAACCATTTATTCAAGGAAAATAAATTAATTTCTGTAAGAACAATGAGATCTGTGTTGCCCAATTTTACAAATGAGGAAACTTTGTTCTCTTGTTCCAGACCTTTGCTCTCCATGCCTTGAAAAATAGCCCACATCTCTGGTACCAGAGGAAGCAGAATGGACTGGGAGGGCCTTCAAAGCCTCACTTTCAAAGCACTATCATTATTTTACACGTTTGGTAGTTCCCTGGAAGACCTTACTTGAAAGGTTTGCCTTTGACCTGACTGGAAGCTACTTAATGTAAAAAGCCTCTTTTCAAGCGGTATTTTTGGAAAATATTTTCAAGTAAATATTTTAACAAGACAGTTGTATGAGGCCGTGGATAACAGTTTGAGGCAAAAAAAACAGCCTAACCAAAAAGCTTAAAAGAAAAGCTGAGGGGCTTCCCTGGTGGCTCATTGGTAAAGAATCCACCTACCAATGCAGGAGACACGGGTTCGATCCTGGTCCAGGAAGACCCCACATGCCGTGTGGCAACTAAGCCCCCGTGCCACAACCATTCAGCCTGTGCTCTAGAACCTGGGAGCTGCAGCTACTGAAGCCCTCGCACCCTAGAGCCAGCGCTCTGCACAAGAGAACCCACTGCAATGAGAAACCTGCGCACCACAACTAGAGAGTAGCTCCTTTTCTCTGCAACTAGAGAAAAGCCTTCACAGCAAAGAAGAACCACAGCCAAAAATAAAGACAGAAAGAAAAGCTGAGGAATGAGATGCCCACAGAGACTTTGTAATGTTCCAACACATTCCTGGGAAACTAGAAGACCACAAGACATATTCTTGGGAATCTAAAAATAACTATTAGCCTTAATTAAAGAGTTCAGCAAAGTTACAGGATGTAAGATAAATATACAAAAATTAGGTATATTTCTACACAACAGTGCTACAAACACGAAATTAAGAAAACAATTCCATAAATAACAGCATCAAAACAAATAAAATACTTGGGAAAAATTTTAACCAAAGAAGTACAAGATTCACACTGCAAAGTACGAAACATTGTTGAAAGAAGTTAAAGAAGGTCTAAATAAAATGTAAAGACATGCTTTGTTCAAGGATAGGAAAGAAACATTATTAAAATTTCACCACTTCCCAAACTGACCTATGGTTTCAGGGCAATGTCTATCAAAATTCCAGCTGACTTCTTTCCAGAAATTGCCAACTTAATTCTAAAATTCACATGGCAATTCAAGAAAAAAAGAAAAACTGAAACAATGTTGGTGGTTTCAAAACCCAGCTTAAGGCTACTGCAATCACAGTGTGGGGCTGGCATAAGAATAAACATTTTAGATCAATGGAACAAAATTGACAGTACAGAAATAAAGCCTTATATTTATGGTCTATTGATTTTCAACATGGGTGCCAAAGCAACTAAATGTGGAAAGAGTAGTCTTTTCAAATGGTGCTGGGACAAATGTACATCCACACACAAAATAATGAAGCTGGACTCTTACATGTCACACCATACAAGAAAATTAACTCCAAATGGATCAAATATCCAAAGTAAGAGCTAAAGCTATAAAACTCTTGGAAAAGAACAAAGGAGTAAATTTTTATGACCTTGCATTGTGTATGCACTGTGTTCAGTTACTCATTAAGGTCCGATTCTTTTTGGACCCCATGGACTGTAGTCCACCAGGCTCCTCTGTCCATGGAATTTTCCAGGCAAGAATAATAGAGTGGGTTGCCACTTCTTACTCCAGGGGATCCTTCCTGATCCAGGGATCAAACCCACATCTCTTGCATCTCCTGCATTGGTAGGCAGATTCTTTACCGCTATGCTACCTGATACCCAAAGCATAAACAATCAGAGGAAAAATAGATGAACTGGACTTCATAAAAATTTAAAATGTTTGTGCTTCAGAAGACACTATCAGGAAAGTAAAAAAAAAAAATAGGACTTCCCTGGAGGTCCAGTGGTTAAGACTCCACACTTCCAATGCAGGAGACACGGGTTCAATCCAGGAAGATTCCACATGCCTCTGTGGGCCAACTACGGAGCCCATGGTCCAGAGCCACAGCTACTGAAGCCTGCATGCTCCAGGGCCCTTGAGCCACAACTACTGAAGCCTTTGCGCCCTAGAGCCTATGTTCCATGAGAAAAGCCTCTGCAATGAGAAGCATGTGCACTGCAACTAGAGACAGTCTGTGTGCCCCAACGAAGACCCAGCACCAAAAATAAATCATAAATAAATAGAACAGTGTGTACACATCAAAAAAAGAAAAAATGTGAGTGTCACAGGTTTGGTTAAGCACAGTTCCTCAAACTTTGAGAAGCTGAAAAACAAACTTTTGGCATTAAAACCTATCAGATTACTGATGGGCTCCTGTGACAGTGAATTCCTTCACTTTTGCATCTTCTCCTGTCCCCTTTTCCTTAGTCATCATGAATGACTATATATATGAAAATAGAATGATTATAAAGCAATAGGTAGCCAAAACAATTTGGCAAAGTTTGTTATCTTTCTCCAGAATTATCTCAATTTTCCAACCCTTCGCTTTTTCTTAATAGCTTGCCCATGGTCTCGGTTCCAGGAGCTCACTGTTTTTTCTTAACCAAGCAGTCCTTTTCTGAGATTAATATCCTTGAGTTCATCCCTAGTGAAATAAAAACATGCAGCCACTCTAAGCTACCCTGTTTCTGCCTCCTGGCTTTAGGGGAGCCTTTTATTCACTAAGCTTGTGTCTGGGCAAAGGGAAGAATGAGTGAGAATGAGTCAACAACTCAATGCGGGGGCTCCCACAGCACCTACTTTCCCACAAACCAAAGGACAAATGGTTTTAGATTCTCAGCAGACACTACTACAGACCATTTCCATCTTGGCCCGATTCCCTCATTTTACACATAAAAGGTATGCCGACTTCTAGTCCATTACCTTTTTGATTCATGAGCTTATCTTTATGGAACAAAACATGGGAACAGGTTTTTTTGGGGGGGCAACTTTAAAAAAGAAGTTTTATTTGAATAATTTCAAACATATAAAATGTTACAAAAACAAACAGATCAAGGAATATGTATATATTTTTACCCAGATTCCCCTAGGCAACAGTTTTTATTAGCCTCAAAGACCATCTCAGAGTCAAAGTTTAAGGAATGCTGTCCTAAATGGTTTTGAAAAATATATCTTATTTAAAGAATAGAAAAATATATCTTATTTAAAGAATAAAGCTCAAATGTTTCCCCATCATCCTTCTGCTGTAGTACACAAAATAAGGGAACATTTCTTACCTCTTATTTTTTTCTCTAAATTCTTCTATACAGGTCCAGACAGATGGGCTACGTTTCCTTTCTATTAACTGAGGAGACAGAGAAGAATTGAGGACTGAAGCTTGTCATCACTGTCCTGAGTGTACTGAAATCCTAACAGCTTTAGCTGAAAAAATGTCCAAAGCAGGCAGTGAAAACAAATTTCAAATAGGACAAACTCCACAACTGTCTGTGCTAGAATCCCAAGGCAGGCAGGGCAAACTGGTTCCTTGGAGGAAGGCAGTCAGAGAAATGAGCAGAGTGACCTGGACCCTGTTCCAATATCTTTGAAGTACTTGGGGATGGGCTGACCCCCTTTCCTTTATTCATCTACATAGGTCCATGAGCCATGAGAACATGACTCCCCACGTGAGGCTCCTCAATACAAGACCTCCAGCTGCACCACATAAACCCTTTCTTGGGGTGGGGTGGGGGCAGCCTAAAGAATTTGAAGTGGTGAATCTGTCTTTCCATCCAAGTTCTGAGAATAGCCTTGAAGGAGAGTCCCTGGCAGTGAGGAACAGAGAAAGAAAGAAGGGAATCAGGCAGACCTGACTTTGAATTCTGATTGTCACTTTCTGGTACAGTGACTTGAATAATGAACATCTCTGTCTTACTTAGTACCATTTACCTTGTAAGGCAGGTAAGGATTAAGTGAAAGAGCATATGCAAAGCACCCAGCAAGCATGGGCAGAGAGTAGGTGCTCAGAAGTGATGATGTCATATTTGCACTGGCCAGAAACCCTGAGGATGCCCAGAGGTGGCCTGGCCAAGAGCTCCAGAAGTGTGGAATTATCACAGGGAAACCAGAGCGCTCTGCTCTAAAGGCGCTATTCAAGTTAGAAGCCAACTTCAAGATGCAAGGTACAAAAAGCCAAATTGTCATCATTTAGTTCTTACTACAAGGAAATGAAGAGCTGTGTAGAAAATTATTTGCAAAGCTCATAAGTGGTTTTGCCTCTTATTAACAGTGTGAATGTAGCTAGGCAAGTTATCCAATGTCTCTGAGTTTTAATTTCCTCATCCCCAAAATGGGGATAATAAGAGTTGTTGGGAGAATAAAACTGTGAAGTAATATGTATTCATTATTTACCATGTATCAAGCAGTATGGTAAAAGCTTTAGGCACACTATCTTACTTGTACACTAAGTATAGTGCCTGGAACATAATAAGTATCTAAGAGATGTAGGTATTAGAGAAATGTTATAGGGCAGAGGAAGAATTACTATGCTTTTGACAGAGAGAAGAAACGTTGTAATATAGGTGGTAAGAATATGATGCAGTTGGGAGAAGAAAAGTAGAGTAGTTGCTAGGTGTGACAATCTCAAATTTTTGAACTATTAAAAAAAAAAAACAAAACAGCCACCCTAAATCATCCCAGAGAACAGACCCGAGTGAGTTCTTTTTCATTTTTAATGTTGATGCCTTTCTGAATCTGAGAAGCTGCCAGGATTCCAGTACATACCAAAAAGTGATGACAACACCCTCAACTGTGCTAACTTGTGTGTGTACACAGCTATCTAAAGAAAACCAAGGCCAGTTGACTGGGAGGCTTGGTGACCACAGCTCAATTTGCCTTCATGGTATGACCACATCCATCTCATCTATATTCTCAACAGTGAGGTAAATAATTCAATAGGGATGAGGCTTTGGTTTTCCTCTAATTCTCTCATAATGCTTATGTTCTTGGTACAATATTGATGTACCACAGACAAGCCAGCATGTGAACATGCCCTGTCTGGATGATTATATAGCCTTTCTACATTGTACAGTCCTTCAGTTTCTAAAATCATGGAGCTTGTATTGTTAAAAACAATGAAGTGACTAAAAGAATTAAAAAAAAAAAACAAGCCATCAGTCTGGACCTGTGTAGGTGAATGAAGGAGAAGCACTTTAAAGTCAGAAAAAAAAGTATACTTAACATTTAGGATTATCAACCACTGCTGGTTTTCCATAATACATTTCATTCCTGATTTCATCTGAAAGAGATATGATTATTACTGCCATTCACAAAGTTGTATTTAGTTAAAAAGCCCTTGGTTCAACTTTGAGGTGGATTTCAGGTTCAGAATAGACTACCACACTGCTTACCTGTTTATCTGGTGTTTGTCAATAACATACAGGCTTCATTTAAGAAACCTACTGTTATAATTACCTGAAAGCCAGTGATGAATCAAGTTTTTGTAGGGCCTGAACCTTATCTACTTTGGGAAATTCTAATAAAAGCACACAAAGACAAGAATACAAAAATTGCTAGGACCACTCCCAAGACCTTGGAAGGGACTTATGCAAGTAAGGAGACCTGAAGCTTAAGCTTCATTTAATTCATGATAAATCCACCTCAACTGGGCCCTTTACCAAACTTACTTAATGCAAGGGAAAATACCATTTCAACTTATAAACACCCTAGTCATTGTAGGTAATAAAATGACTTAACTCGAGGGGTAGCATCTTCTCTTGGCATTTTGCCTTTGGACAGAGATGCAATAAAGTTTATATCTCACCATGGCAAATGTTGCCTGAAGCAAATTAGCTTTGTCTAGTAGAAAGACTTGGCCCAAAAGAAAGAGCCCTACCCTCAACACACACTTACTATATTGTGACAATCTTTTGATGGTAAAACTTTGAATGAGTTTTAGGAGTACAGTATTAATTTATTTCCAATAGCAGATAGCTCAAATTCTTTCATTACCTTTTCCTGTCATTTATGATAAACACAAAAGTTCAAAAGGAACAAGTTGGTATCTCTTCCCTTAAGAATCTTTTCTGACCCACCACCCATTTTCTACTTTGTTGCCCCTGCCCACCTTGTTACCCTGCTACATAGATGCTAGCATGGCTCTCATATATCTTCCCATCAACATCCATCTTCCTCTTTCCAGTGTGAAAGCTTCCTGGGGACAAAGTCCTTGTCCTATTCTTTGTGTCCCCAGCACAGCACTTAGAATAGTGCTGACACACAGTGGGTATGGCACTCTGTGAATGTTTTTGAATAAATTCATTAATTTTTGTCAACTGTGATTCCACGATTTATTTTCCTGTTGCCTGCATAACCACAGTGAAACTCTGATTCTTATTAGGGACTCTTGGCATTATAAAATGTTTAGAAAACGTGGTGAGTTTAAGACATTGTATTGACGCTACTGAAACCTCCTGGTGGAGGGCCCTTAGGAGCCTGCTCTCTGGCACTCTGGCCAAAGAAAAACTGACCCTGGATGCTCTTTCCCCAAAGTAGGCATCAGGAAACTCATGAGGGGTGGGGGTGGGGGGTGGGAGGCCACCCCAGATAGGGATCTGTAGCTCTGGACCCTCAACACCTTCATTAACTGGAAAGGAACTGTGTGAAACTGGATTTCTGAGCCACAAGACAGTAAGAGAGTCTTTACCAAAGCCAGGCATAGATAGACAAGGCTCTTTACCTTGACTTGGAAATTCCCTTCTGGCCATGGAATGTACTCACTATGATTTGCTTGTGTCACAGAGAATTCACAGAATTTTTGAGCAGAAGGGGTGTAAAACCCACACTTGTTATTGAAGAGTAGTCAGGAAGTCTATAAAATTAGGCTACAGCAATGTATTTTCTTTATATTTTTCACACTACTGAACAAAAACATCATCTTTTTCCATAACTGAAAGGTTCCTACTGGCCACAGATAATTCACTTCAGAGGCATACTTCTTGAAAAACAAGGATCTGGGTGATTGGGGAGAGCCCTGTGGTGGATGTTCAGGAATTCGTTTTCCTTTACCATTTAAAAGAAGCTAATGGTTGAGGAAGCATCCACACCTTTCGTTCCATGAAGAATATTGTGCTAAACTTAGATCTTTGCAGCTCTGCATTGCATAGATTTTAAGCATTTCACAACTTTGCACATGAGCAGGAATCAAAGTTAAATTAAAAAATGGAACTTCATGGACCCTTCCCGTATTGGAGCAGCATCAGTGGGATTCCATGACAGTGCTAATTTGAATGTTTTTGCTTGGTGCCTTTTATTGCCTGTGCCAAAGATCAGTACTATGGAAACCAGACCGTTTCATACATAGGAGGTTAGATAAGTCTCTTGGCCTCTTTGTACCTTAGTTTCCTCATTTGAGAAAAAAAAAAGGGGATCTCAAGACATACTTTTCAGGATTCATACTAGGCTTACACCCAGGTAACAAATAACTGTATGATGTTTTTACACACAGTTTTATACATGTATTCATCTTCTATTTCACTTACAACTTGTGTAAAAACTGCATTCCATGCCAGGCCTGAAATGTTCCAAAGCTCAGTTCTGTGAGTAAATTGCAACCAAGATTTCTACAAAAAAAGACACAAGCAAAAGAAGAATAAAAAAATATATTCTTTCAAAACACTTATCCTTTGGCAGTAAATCTAATTTATATATGATGAAAATAACATCAGTACTCCCTCCATACACTAAAGAAATCTCACTGTGGAAGATAATATGATTTACACTCTAATGATTATACATGTGGTGCATTTAGCAAATGCTCAATAAATGCTTATGTTAAGTGATCTTTACTTCTCTAGGAAAGCAGCACTATTGACATTTGAGGCTGGATAATTCTATCTTGTGCTGGGGCTCTCCTGTACACTGTTGAATGCTTAGTTGCATCTCTGGCCTCTGTCCACTAGATGTCAGTAGTACATACAGTTCTAACAAGCAAAAATGTCTCCAGACGTTGCCAAGTGTCGCTGCATGCAAAACCACCCTGGTGGGGAACCACTGTTCTAGAACGATTCACACTGATCTATGTAATAATTCTCACACTCATCTTTGCCAGAGACAAAAAGGACTTGTTATATAATTTTAATAATATTTCAAAATGAGTAACAAGTTAATTTGATAAAAGTTAAGTTTTCTAAAAATTCCAAATATAATGAAGTTATATTTGTAACTTACATAAACTGCAAAAAAGGAAGTGGTTCAAATGAACGTCTTTCAATAGACTGTATTTTATTGCAGGATAAATCTCTAGGAAAAGTAAAAGGAAAATATTGCCTCAATTAGCTATTAGATATCTATTTAATAGGAATAACTAGTAGAGGTTAGAATGATAAAAACAAATAAGTAGCTTTGGTCTAAATTCCAAACCTTAGGAATTGTTATTTGAACCTTCCAGAGTCCCTAACCCTGCCTTCACCTCTCTCAAGAAGTCTCTATAAATAAAATATATAACTACAGAACTTTTTTAAAGTTTATATCATAATCACCTGGAAGGCAGCTTTCACTATGGACTGTGTTAATTGCTTGGTCGTGTCCAACTCTTTGCGATCCCATGGACTGTAGCCCGCCAAACTTCTCTGTCCATGGAATTCTCCAGGCAAGAATACTGGAGTGGATTGCCATTCCCTCCTCCAGAGGAACTTCCCAACCCAGGGATTAAACCCTGGTCTCCTGTCTCGCAGTCAGATTCTTTACCGTTTGAGCTACAACTGTAGATCTTGATAAATTTTGGAGGTAATCTTTCCTGACAGCAGAATTGATTAGATTCCCACCTTTTGTAGTCTTTTCAAATTCTAGGTTATGAGCTCAAAGTTTTTATTTCCAATTACAATTTCTAACATTAAAAGGAATTTTCTTATATTTAGACACCTCCCAATTTAGTTCTGTTTTTCTAGGCCAATTCAGTACTTGCAGAAATAAAAGATATCCTTTCATACAACCTGAAAGGAAGTTACTCCCCTCATTGATATGTAACTTTACCTAATTCAGTATTATACTTTCTATCACATTGATTTTTATTTGAAAATACCGTCTTGACTATAGCTGACTATCCTGTTTCCATTGACATCAGCTTGTGCCTCATTTCACCTGGATGAGTATAACTGTCTTCTGACTGGTGTTTCTATCTCTGCTGTCTCCATTCCTAAGCCAGGCTCTACATGATCATTAGTTTAACTCTCCAGAAAGTGAAAGTTGCTCAGTCGTGTCCGACTCTTTGCGAACCCATGGACTGTAGCCTGCCAGGCTCCTCGGGCCATGGCATTCTCTAGGCCAGAATACTGGAATGAATAGCCATTCCCTTCTCCAGGGGCTCTTCCTAACCCAGGGATCGAACCAAGGTCTCTCGCATTGCAGGCGGATTCTTTACCATCTGAGCCAATTTCCAGAAGTAGTCTTCAATACCAGCACCATTTGTGAACTTACTGAAGCTACAAATACTCAGCCCTGCTCTGGACTGATTGCATCATTAACTACAGAGGTGGAGCTTGTGTTTCAACAAGCCCTCCAAGTGGCTGATTCTGCTGCAGGCTCAAGTCTGTCCTAGAGCACTGCTGTGGTAACATGGTTGCTTGGCATGATATTCTGGGTTTGTCCCCCAATGCCCTTGATAACCTGGCTCTCATCTCCTATTCTCTGTACTGGAACTCTATGGGTACTCAAAGTGTTTTTCCTGTGTTTTGTCTTTCTCCCAATTTTATTTTGCAAGCTTATTCTTCCCAAGATGTCTGTTGGATGATACCAATGGCCCTTTAAGGTTCCGTTTGAATAGCATTGCTTTAGCAACATCTTCCCTGATCCAGTTAGAAGTCTTTTTTTCCCTCTTCTATGCTCCAACACCAGCTTACAGCACTCATTGCCCTTATTCATTTCTTTTCTAAAAAAAGAAAGCTACTTTTGCATCCCATTTTCTCTCAGCATAAAACTCCTTGAATGTATAGGTTAGATCCTGTTTATGCACATTGTCTATCATGTTTGCAGCCAATGCATGGACATAAAGCAAACTCAAATATTTATAAAATCAACAAATAGGGAGTGAATAAGAAGAAAATGACTGTTTTAAAAGAAATGGAGCTTTATTATTTCATGGCTCCCTCTTCTGTGCCTCTACTGCACTTTGTCGTTATGGTTTGAGTTTCTATGTTTATTTTCTCTGTGAGATCATGAATTGCTAGAAGGAATTCTATCTTAATCACTTTTGTGTTTCCAACACTAGGCTTAGTTCTTAGCATATTCTTTTTTAGCTTTTTTATTGATTGGCATTTTTAAAACAGAATGAGCATATGGATGCTAACATGAAATAATCAGCTTATAAAGTATTTCATAGAAGTAAGGAAGGGCCTAATCCACTGAGTAGTTATCTTTGTTTTTCTCCAAACTGTGTTTGTAAGGTTTGGCGCCTAGACAGAAGAAAAGAAAATGTTGCCCCTAAGGCTTTGAAGGTTTGATAATTAAAGAACTATTGTTAGGGTGAGGTGAGACTCTTTATATACTCATCTCCTTTAACTCTTTTATCTTTGCAAAAATAATCTACTTGTTGAACAGCATCCTAAATTGGCTTAATAAGGGTTAATAACATACATATCTTGGATGCCATGGACAAAGGACAAAAATTGAGCTTTTAAAGCAAAGAACACAGTATCTCCTTATCCCTAAATAAACAGAAACATTATGCAAGCATTTCACCTTGGATAAAGAAGCTAGAGAGGGCATTCCCTGGAGGCCCAGTGGTTAGGACTCAGCACTTCCACTGCCAGGGGCCTGGATTCACTCCCTGGTGGAGGAACTAAGATACTGCAAGCCACACCGCAGCCAAAAAACAGAGGCTGGAGAGACTTTTGTTTTGTACCTAGTGAAGTTAGGGGCATTTCTGATATGTTCATTTAGTGTAAACATTTCTAAATATACCACTTATACGTCATCTTTAACATTTTTAATTTCATGCAATTCTTGCATGAAATCCTTAACAATAGTCTGTTCTTTTGATAACTTAATGTGTTCTTGACAAAGTACTGTTTACATAGTTCAGTTCATCTGCTTAAATATTTAACATTTTAGTGTTAAACGTTAAATATTTAACGTTTTCCTGTGTTTTATCTTTCTCTCACTTTCCTTTCACAAGCTTATTCTTACCAAGATGTCTATTGATGATACCAATAGCCCTTCAAGGTTCCGTTTAAACAGCATTGCTTTAATAGCATCTGATCCAGTTTTAGCTTAGATTACATTATCAAAATTATGAGTTAATGGCATTCACACTAATGTAAGTGCTCTATATTTTCTTTCCTGTCGGTGACATTTTGAAGTTAACTTTAATTCCTCTTATTTTACTAAAACAAGTTTTTCAAACGTTTTCCAAAAAGGCCAGGGAGTAAATATTTTAGACTTTGCAGGCCACACAGTCTCTGTCACATATTTTTCTTTGTTTCTCTCTATTTTTTTCATTTACAACCCTTTAAAAATCATTCTTAACTTATGGGCTGTGTAAAAATGGACCATGGGTCAGATTTGAGTCATAAACAAAATATAAGCAGATAGTATATGAACATTTATATATAATGTTACAGACATGGGAGTCTATAATTTCTCAGATCCTATTACCACTTTTCCTCTACAACTAAAGGGTATTTTCCCATCTATATCTTGTCTAAATAATTAAATTAAAAAATTAATAGGAGGTATTTAATGGTAGAGATGGGCTAGGGCCCTACACAGACTTAAAAAATTGTAGAATTGTATGGGTGGAAGAAATTGAAGAGACTATCTAATTTGAACCCGTAGTTACTTTATAGATAAGATCTCATAAATAAATATGATTTACTAATTAACTTACAAATATTGGAGGGATAGCAAGCCTTCAAATGAGTCCTTGTGTAATTCAGTCAAAGAATTTTCACTGAGAATTCTGAAAAATGAAAATGTTATTTCTCAATCAAAATGCAAAACAACTACAACCATTTACTACATAGTACTCCTGTAAGTGGAGGAAGCTAAGTAATGGTGCCATCTAAACACCCTAATTCTTACTTAATTTAAGGATGGCGATTTCTGCTCTGTTTTCATTTAAACCTTTTTCCTCACATCCTTTGCTGTGTCTATCTCTTTCCATCACACATACACACACACACACACACGCTCCATCCAAATCCACACTCTTCCCACCAAATCATACAGATCATACAGTTAATGCCTACTCTCTAGATCACAGGATTTCTGTTAGAATCCAACTCTGGCAGCACCAACACTGCAGAGGTCCTTCCCTCTTCTCTTTTCCCAAACCTTATTGGGAAGTTCCACACAGAACTGTATCAGGGCTGAAAATGAAGCCATCTGATTTTTTTCCTCTAGTAAAACTTTTTTGAAAATTATTCACATATTTTAAAACTATGCATAAAATATATACAATTGTTCAGTTTAATAATGATGAAACAAATCCCTGTGTGACACCACTCATGTCAGAAAAGAATTCTGTCAGCATCTGAGGAGTCCCTGGGCAGAACTTTCCAATCACAGCTCTCTCTCTGACTTCAGTACAGAAGAAACTCTATAAAGATATCAGAGGTCAGTTTCTCTTGCCTGCAAGAATCCCCTTCCTTGCAATATTAACAGTGGCACATCCTTCAGGAATCTTGGGGATCTGAGCACATGCTATGTTGCCTTGTGAATATTTTCACTGAGTTCTGCATTTAAAACATTGTTTTTCCTTACAGTGTATCTTGGTCACATATTTATATTAATTCCACCTCATATCTTGATTCCATCTCATAAATTAATTCTTTACACATAGTTTACGAGAATTAAAGTATTCTACCTGGAAACTCTGCAACTCAGTTATAAGGTGGTTCATACTATATAGAATACAGGCATATACATTTTTAAAGGATCACTAAAACAAAAACACAGAAGACTTTATTCCCACAGAATTCCCACAAAGAACTCTTGGAGTCCTGAAAATGTTTCAAAGATCCTGACCTCAATTTGAAATTCACCATGTTAGAAAGAACAGCAGTCTTGGACAGCTGAAGGGGGAATGGCCAAGATGGTGTTTAGATGGTGCTAAGACTGATTCTTTCCTCACCTCTGTTAAGTAGTGTTTTCATATTTCCATGGAAATGATCCAAAAAGAAAAAACAAATCAATATGTCCAACAACATTTATAGTAACCCTTTTCATAACTTTGAAAGTTGGAAAGAACTCTACCTCCCCACATCACATAACAAAACTGTGTACACCATAGGTGATATACAAAAGTCACAGGAAATAATGATATATGAAAAAGGTCAAGACAGAAGAGACTCCGCAGACTGTAGCCCGCCAGGTTCCTCTATCCATGGGATTTCCCAGGCAAGAATACTGGAGTGAGTTGCTATTTCCTCCTCCAGGGGATCTTCCCAATCCAGGGATCGAATCTGCATCTCTTATGTCTCCTGCAGTGGTAGGCAGGTTCTTTACTACTAGCTCCACCTGGGAAGCTCAAATCAATATGCCCAACGACGTTTATAGTAACCCTTTTCATAACTTCGAAAGTTGGAAAGAACTCTATCTCCCCACATCGTGTAACAAAACTGTGTACACCATAGGTGATTTACAAAAGTCACAGGAAATAATGATATATGAAAAAGGTCAAGACAGAAGTGAAACTCATATGTATTAGTTATAAGTCTGAACACTGACAAGGGTTTAATCAGGACAGTGAAGAGATGGGGCTGATCATCAGCTCTTCACGGCACTGTCTTTTTTGATTGGCTGATGCCCATATCAGACTAGTTGGGAGTTTGAATATCGTAGGACAGAGAGTATTTTAAATTAATGGGGTTTCTTTTTATGGACTTGTTTGGATGGCAGGATATTAAAATTTTTAAAAATAACAGTAATAAATTCAACCTAGAAGTAAAGTTTAGACTGAGAATGTCAGTCACCAAAAAGTACCCCCAAAAGAAGCTTCAAATAAGCAACTAACTGAAATAAAGTCTACTGATCTGTAGAACTCCAAATATTCATTCTGACTGAGGCGAGAAATTTAAAACTATGGGGAATCAAGTGTTAAAGCCAGATCAAAAACTTTCTCACACCATGAAAATATCAAAACCAGGCATGAAGTAACGTTTAAGAAACATCCATGTTTTACTTCTGACCAGGGTTCTTATCTAAGGCAATCTTCTAAGTTTCACATTCATTCTTGATTCTATATTTATAGACAATTATCCTTCTTTCCATTCTACAACTTCTAGAAAACTGAGAGGGCTCAGTGTTTCTTTGACTCAACTATACATATAATGCAAATAGTAGGCCATTCTAGAAGTGATTTACTCAACTTTCTCTGCTTTCTTTCTCTCCAAAGTACTCATCAATACTTAAAATTATATCTATTTATCTATTATACTTACTTACTTATTTTTATATATTTGTAACCCCCCTGAGAACTGGAATACTTGGTCTTTTTTGTTTTGGGACCTGTCTCCCTAGCATTTAAAACAGTTCCTGGCACATAGGAGACACAAAAAAATATTTATTGAATGAATTAAAAAAGTGATGGCTCATCAACTATCTGATACTTTTATTTAAAACAAATCATCCATATACCATCATTCATGAGGATAAGTACAAGAAAAGAAATGTCTTCACCCCTACATTTGTGACTAAATCTTTTGAGATAAGAATCCATTGAGAACTTCACAAAAACAGTGTCCTTTTCCCTAGAAAACTGCACTGTCTCGAACACATGTAAAAGTATATGTGCAATTTCCATTTGTGGACCATCCTTTTAGGGCAGAGGTCTATGAACAGAGTAGACTGAATTCAGAGGGCTAAACTTGGATGGGAAACAAGATTATATCTCAATTTTCACAATCTCTCAATAAAATCAGCATGTCCTTCCATTATGAATATAGGCAACAAATCACAGTAGATCAGCAGTAGTTAACTTGGTCCCCAACAGAAATCACAGATCATTTCATATCACATGTACGTTGCAGATATCTCAAAATATCATTTATTCACATCACTACCCCGAGTAATAACATTTATTGACCTACCACTATCTTGTTATTTAATGTGCTAAGAGAAGCATATTTATTACTATATCACTAATTTTTGAACTATTCTGAAAACTAGTCAGTGTTTCAACATAGTTGCTTTCCTTTGTTTTTCTATATATTTTAACCTATTATACACTTGAAAACATTATCACAAGAACATAAGCTTCTGTAGATTATACGCCAAAGAGACATACGTGAGGGATCAGGAGGGAGATTAAAAAACTGTCCTGGGGAGCCACTGACACCAAGTTAGGGACCTCTGCTTATAAGGTATAAACCTCAAGCTGACTTAGAAATCTTCAAATCTTACCAGATTCATGTTACACTATATCACTTCCCACACACAGGCTTTTTAACAGTTAACTTTTTAAATTCAATTTATTTTTTTTACAAAATACATAATATATATTCACATGGCTCAAAATCCCAAAGATATATAGTACATAATCCAAACTTTTTCTCTTACCTCTGTCCCTTAATCTACCATTCCCCTCTACTCCTCAGAGGAAACTAATATTAATCTATTTCTTGTGCCACATGACTTTCATTCTTCTTACTTTTGGGAAATAAAATCTCCAAGTTAGATACTATCATGGGAAATATAAACTACATTTTGTAGCTACAAAATCTGTAAATTTTAAAAAATTTCCTGGTTCTAGCATTTTTTCCTTACCAATAAGATAGTCAAACTAAGGGAACATGTTATGTCTTTTATTATTAATTCGGAATTCATTTATGACTGGTCTATTCAAGTTGAATGAATGATATGACCATAAACGGTCATGAAATACTAGTTAATTACTTTGAATGTTTTTTCCCAAAATCACTTATGTATCTAAGCAGATTTTTTCTACAAATCAATAAAAAATAACAGTAACAGAAAAATGGACTAAGCACAGACAATTTAGAAAGACAAATGTTCAGTAAACATGTACAGACATTTAAATTCATAAGTGATCAGAAAAATTCAAATTCAGATCAGACCTCTTTGATTCACCCATCACATCAGCCAAAAAGGAGCAGGGGAGGGGGTGGAGAATATCCAATGGTAGAAGGAATGTGACGGAAAGGAATGTCATCATGGCATGTTGATGGGAGTAGAACATGGTCAACACCAAAATCAGACTGATTATATTCTTTGCAGCCAAAGATGGAGAAGCTCTATACAGTCAGCAAAAACAAGACTGGGAGCTGACTGTGGCTTGGATCATGAACTCCTTGTTGCCAAATTCAGACTTAAATGGAAGAAAGTAGGGGAAACCACTAGACCATTCAGGTATGACCTAAATTAAGCCCCTTTTGACTATACAGTGGAAGTGAGAAATAGATTTAAGGGACTAGATCTGATAGAGTGCCTGATGAACTATGGACAGAGGTTGGTGACATTCTACAGGAGACAGGGATCAAGACCATCCCCAAGAGAAAGAAATGTAAAAAAGCAAAATGGCTGTCTGAGGAGGCCTTACAAATAGCTGTGAAAAGAAGAGAAGCAAAAAGCAAAGGAGAAAAGGAAAGATATACCCATTCGAATGCAGAGTTCCAAAGAATAGCAAGGAGAGCTAAGAAAGCCTTCCTCAGCGATCAATGCAAAGAAATAGAGGCAAACAATAGAATGGGAAAGACTAGAGATCTCATCAAGAAAATTAGAGATACCAAGGGAACATTTCATGCAAAGATGGGCTTGATAAAGGACAGAAATGGTATGGACCTAACAGAAGCAGAAGATATTAAGAAGAGGTGGCAAGAATACACAGAAGAACCATACAAAAAAGATCTTCACGACCCAGATAATCACGAGGGTGTGATCACTCACCTAGAGCCAGACATCCTGGAAGGTGAAGTCAAGTGGGCCTTAGAAAGTATCACTACAAACAAAGTTAGTGGAGGTGATGGAATTCCAGTTGAGCTTATATTTCAAATCCTGAAAGATGATGCTGTGAAAGTGCTGCACTCAGTATGCCAGCAAATTTGGAAAACTCAGCAGTGGCCACAGGACTGGGAAAGGTCAGTTTTCATTCCAATCGCAAAGAAAGGCAATGCCAAAGAATGCTCAAACTACCACACAATTGCACTCATCTCACACACTAGTAAAGTAATGCTCAAAATTCTCCAAGCCAGGCTTCAGCAGTACGTGAGCCATGGACTTCCAGATGTTCAAGCTGGATTTAGACAAGGCAGAGGAACCAGAGATCAAACTGCCAACATTCGCTGGATCATCGAAAAAGCAAGAGAGTTTCAGAAAAACATCTACTGCTTTACTGACTATGCCAAAGCCTTTGACTGTATGGATCACAATAAACTGTGGAAAATTCTGAAAGAGATGGGAATACCAGACCACCCGACCTGCCTCTTGAGAAACCTGTAAGCAGGTCAGGAAGCAACAGTTGGAAATGGACATGGAAAAACAGACTGGTTCCAAATAGGAAAAGGAGTACGTCAAGGTTATATATTGTCACCCTGCTTATTTAACTTATATGCAGAGTACATCATGAGAAACGCTGGGCTGGATAAAGCACAAGCTGGAATCAAGACTGCCGGGAGAAATATCAATAACCTCAGATATGCAGATGACACCGCCCTTATGGCAGAAAGTGAAGAACTAAAGAGCCTCTTGATGAAAGTAAAAGAGGAGAGTGAAAAAGTTGGCTTAAAGCTCAACATTCAGAAAACTAAGATCATGGCATCCGGTCCCATCACTTCATGGCAAATAGATGGGGAAACAGTGGACACAGTGGCTGACTTTGTTTTTTGGGGGCTCCAAAATCACTGCAGATGATGACTGCAGCCATGAAATTAAAAGACGCTTACTCCTTGGAAGGAAAGTTATGACCAACCTAGATGGCATATTAAAAAGCAGAGACATTACTTTTGTCAATAAAGGTCCATCTAGTCAAGGCTATGGTTTTTCCAGTAGTCATGTATGGATGTGAGAGTTGGACTATGAAGAACACTGAGCGCCAAAGAATTGATGCTTTTGAACTGTGGTGTTGGAGAAGACTCTTGAGAGTCCCTTGGACTGCAAGGAGATCCAACCAGTCCATCCTAAAGGAAATCAGTCCTCGGTGTTCATTGGAAGGACTGATGTTGAAGCTGAAACTCCAATATTTTGGCCACCTGATGCAAAGAGCTGACTCATTTGAAAAGACCCTGATGCTGGGAAAGATTGAGGGCAGGAGGAGAAGGGGACAACAGAGGATGAGATGGATGGATGGCATCACCAATTCAATGGACATGAGTTTGGGTAAACTCCGGGAGTTGGTGATGGACAGGGAGGCCTGGCGTGCTGTGGTTCATGGGGTCGCAGAGTCAGACACGACTGAATGACTGAACTGAACTGAAAAATTTATATCTACATAGTCTTCGCCCCAACAATCCCATTTCTAGATATCTATTCTACAGAAATACCTAGCCAGATTCACACAGGTGCCTGTATGAGGACACTCATTGCAGCAATGCATGCAACAAGAAAACTGGACATATAGACGTCCTTCAACAGGGGCATTATTAAACTATGATACATTTATACTATGGAATATTACACAGGAGTTGAAATGAATGGGGTAACCCTGTATGTACTAGGAATGAAAGAAATCTAAGACAACATGAAATGAAAGAGTTGCAGGATGTTTCATTTATGTAAAAAAGATAAGAAAATCATACAACAAACCTATTTGGTTATCTGGAAATATATATGTATTCAAATGTATAGGAAAGAGTCTGGAAGGATATATACTAAACTCAAAGCAGCTTGAATGGGGTTTAGGGAGCAAGAAGAGTTTTCACTATACCTGTTATTTTTACATAGTGAGAATATAATCATACAATACTCATATAATGGAAAATAAATGACTGATTTTAAAGAGGGCCTGCCACATTTAATTTTGAAAATAAAAAGAATTTCAATCAATAGGTTGCTTTGGGAGATGAAAGGGGAAATACCTTTTCTGACAGCTATTGACCTCAAAATTCTGGACCAAGAAGGATCTTACAAAACAGTGAGCAGTTTGTATTCACATTTGGAGAGAATATACTCACAGTTTCTCAGCCCAACGGTATGCCTTCCATATATTTTCATCAATGTAAGAAATATAGTTTCCTTGGAAATTTCTGTGAAGAAACATAGGTCATATCCTTGAATAGGCAGGAAAAGAATGAAGAGAATATGTAAAAGAACCATGGCCACCTTATGGGGAATATTCAAATGCAGAAAAAAAAAAACCAGATTTTTAATTCCCACAGCTTCCCAGTGTGTGTGCTTAGTCCAACTCTTTGTGACCCTCTGGACTATAGCCTGCCAGGCTCCTCTGTTCATGAGATTCTCCAGGCAAGAATACTGGAGTGAGTAGCCATTCTCTTTTCTGGGGGATCTTCCCAACCCAGGGATCAAACCTTAAATGTTTAAAATGGAACTCATCTTCCTCAAACTAGCTCTCCTTCCCAACTGCTGTATTTCCACCTGTTATACCACCATCATTCTCCCCATCATGCATGCATGCTAAATCGCTTCAGTCGTGTCCAACTCTTTGCAACTCCATGGACTGTAACCTGCCAGGCTCCTCTGTCCATGGAATTCTCCAGGCAAGAATACTAGAGTGGGGTGCCATTTCCTTCTCCGGAGGATCTTCCCAACCCAGGGAATCAACCCATGTCTCTCATGTCTCTGCTTTGGCAGGCGGGTTCTTTGCCACTAGCACCACCTGGGAAGCCCCACCAACATATGCGATTTTTCTCTTTCCCACATACCCAAGTCCCCCAGCGCTAGTCAATGACTACACCTAGTCGGTTTTGCCTTTGTCGTGCTCTCATGATTTTCTTTCTACTCCTCTCACAACTACTCTAATTCAGCCCCGTTTCACTTACCCCTAGATTTTGCTAGACCATTCTATTTGGTCTCCCTGAATCAAGCTTTCCTCTCAAGATCAGGCTACATATGGAATCTAAAATAATTGTTTTAATCATTTGTCTTTCTTGCTTGAAAACTTTCAGTGGCTCCGCAATCTTACATCATCACTTTCACATCTCCATTAGGAGAGCCAAGGTTTGTCATAATTGTAGCTTTCATTGTTCTCTAACCCAATTCTTTTGGGTGGCTCAGAGATAAGGAATTCACTTGCCAATGCAGATGTGGTTTTGATCCCTGGGTCAGATCCCTTGGAGAAGGAAATGGCAATCCATTCCAGAATTCTTGCCTGGGAAATCCCATGGGTGGAGGTGCCTGGTGGGCTTACAGTCCACAGGGTCAAAAAGAGTCAGATATGACTTAGCTACTAAACCACCACCACCAACTCACTTCTTTTTATAGGCAGACTGATCTATGAAATCCTGATCATCCTCGCAGGCACACATTTGCCCAGACCGTGCTCCCTGTTTTTTCCCTAACAAATCACAGCCAATGTTTTAAGTCCCAGGTGATTTTAACTTATCCATGCAGCTTTCCCTGACCTCCACACCCTAATGATTATAGGTTCTGGTGAACTACAGCAGATATCTGTATCTCTTTCAATGCTTAACTGTATATTATCTCCCTTTTAAAACACATCCCCTTTCCTCTCACCTATCACTGTCACGTTCTGCAGACAATGTCATACTTCTGTGGTGCCCACAGTACTTAGCCCTGTGTTGGGCACAAAATGGGTGTTACACATAGAAAGTCAGGGGGCAAAGATGAGTTCTAGATATAACTGAGGAACTGAATATAATAATAGCTAACACTAACATATATGCTAGGCACTGATGTAAGAGTTTTACATGTATTATGTGTGTTAGTCGCTCAGTTGGGTCTGACTCTTTGAGACCCCATGGAACCTGTCAGGCTCCTCTGTCCATGGAACTCTCTAGGCAAGAATACTGGAAATGGCAATTTCCTTCTCCAGGGGATCTTCCTGACCCAGGGATCAAACTTGGGTCTCCCGCATTGCAGGCAGATTCTTAACCGTTTGAGGCACCAGGAAAGCCCACATACATTAGGCACTGATGTAAGAGCTTCACATGTATTAACTCATCTAAATCTCACAACGATCCTATGAGATGACTATCATCATTCCCTCTTTACAGATGATGAAATTGAGTCACAAAGCTAACAAATAACAGACGTGGGTTCAAACCCAGGCAGTTCAGCTCAGAAATCTCTACTCTTAACCATTTGTTGTTTCACCACCAATGAGGTGGGGAGAGGGATATGTTGCTATAAAAAGGATGGAGCAAAAATGGGAGAAGAGTAGATGTTAAGGAATTAAATAATGGGGTAAAAAATAGAGAAGGAAAAGGAATAGGGGTGATTATAAGTAAAAGACTGGAGAAGAGGGAACAATAGTAAGGAGGAGAATGAAGAACAAATAAAAGGGTAAAAATAGCAAGTCAGTCAATGTGGGTTGGGGAGATGAGAAAGACCCAGGAAAACCTGGAAGAGGGGCTACCATGTTAGGCAGGACGCAGAGAACAAATAAAGAAAGGCCATTCTTACAAGATGGTGAAGGTGCCATTGTAGGAGTTGGGCCCTGGCTCAGGCACTCTGGGGAGCTTCTGCTTTGCGCTCAGACCAACACACGACAGCGTCTCATCTTTGCAGGTACAGAGCTTACATACGTTGATGGTTGTGGTGGCATTCTGTACTGGTTGCTTCTTTCCTGGTATACGTTTTATAACAGGGGGACTTTTGGGTTCTGAAAATGGAGTCAAAGGAAAATGAACCATCTCAGATGGCCTTGACTGCTGAGATATGCTAACTCCCAGGTCCACAGTTGGGACTGTGGCTTGAGTCAGGTTTGGTGGTGGAAGTGTCACCTCTGGGAGAGCCGTGGTCTGCTGCAGGGCAGTAGAATATTCAGACCCCATAGCAGGTTGCGAGGTTATGGTGAGCTCCAGGTTCGCAGGATGAGTTGTGACACTGGGTGATGTTGGTGGCTGACTTTGATCCTTACTTGGGGTCTCCTGCAGGGTTGGAGGAGGCTCAGTCTCCGTATTATTCACTGCGGTAACGTTAACTTCCACATCCATAGGTTGAAGCGTGACTTCAGTCAGGTTTGCATGGGCAAGTGTCCCCTCAGGCTGTTCTGGAGGAGGAGCTGTGGTCTGCGGCAGGGCAGCAGAATGTTTGGACACGGTAGCAGGTTCTGGAGTTACGGTAAGCTCCAGGTTCACGTGATAAGCGGTGACGCCAGGCGACGCCGCCTCGAGTGCTGGACCTGTCACCTCGGAATACAATGGAGGCTGAGCTACAACTTCCTTAATGGGTTTTGGAGGCTGAGCTTGGGTCTGCTGCATGGTTGGAGAAGGTTCGACCTCCACAGTGGATTCCGGAGTTAGTGTGAGTTCCAGGTCCAAAGATTGAAAGGTGACCTCGCTCAAGGTTGGGCGCTGAGACTGAACTGGCTTTGGATGTGGCAGTGTTAACTCGGGGTATGGTGGAATAGCTGCAGTCTGCTGCAGGCCTGTGGAATATTCAGCCTCTGTCACAGGTTCTGGAGTTGTGTTAGGCCTCTGGCCTGATGGGTGAACTGTGACACTGGGCAGCAGTTGGCTCTGAGCTGGCACTGGAACAGTCACCTCTTGCTGCACTGGACGCTGAGCTGGGGTCTCCTGCATGGCTGGAGAAGATACAGCCTCATTCGTGGATTCTGGAGTTATGGTAAGTTCCAGGTCCAAAGGTTGAACTGTGAACTCCGACAACTGAGACTGAACTTGCTCTGGATTTGGAAGCATCACCTCAGGGGGTTTGGGGTGAAGAGCTGTAGAAGATTCAGCTTCTACAGTAGGCTTTGGAGTTACAGTAGGCTCCGGGTTGAGAGGCTGAACTGGGGCACTGGGCAGTGTTGGATTCTGAGCTTGATACTGGCCTGGAGTTGAATCAGCCACAACCTCCTTAGGTGGCTCCACAGGCTGAGGTGGTAGCTCCTGCATGGTTGGAGAAGGTTCTTCCTCCTTGGTGGGCTCTGGCTTTATGGTAAGTTCAAGGTCCAAAGGTTGAACTGTGACCTCAGTCAAGGTTGGATGCTGCACTTGAACCTGCTCTGGATTAGGAAGTGTCGCCTCCAGGGGTGTAGAAGGTTCTGGAGTTACAACAGGCTTCTGGGCCAAAGGTTTGACTGTGGCACTGGTTAAGTTTGAATGATGAGTCTGATCCTGTCCTGGTGTTGAAAATGTCACCTCATAAAGCACTAGAGTTTGTGCTACAACCTCTGTAGGTGGCACTGGAGGCTGCAATGGGCCGCCCTGCTGGGCTGGAGAAGGTTCTGTCTCTTTAAGGGGTGGGGCTGGGAACTCCTCTTGGTTTGGAGAAGATCCTACATTCTGAGGGGGCCGTAGAAGCTGAGGAAGGGTCCCCTGAGGGACTGGAAGTGCTTCCACCTTTGCAGGGGGTTCTGATGTCTGAGTCTCAAGCACCTGCTGTGTGGGAGAAGACACCACCTCCTTGGGGGGCTTGAGAGATACAGTTGGGCTCCCCTGGGGAACCGGAGACTGAGCTGGGCGTCCCCCCTGGGCTAAAGAAAGCTCAACCCTCCCAGGGGGATCTGGAGTATGAGCAGCATTCTCCAGCTTCACTGGAGAATGTACAAGGTCTTTAGTTGAGCCTGGAGTTAGGACAACCGCCAGATCCACGGATTTAGCAGTGATATGAGGAAACACTGGACCCAGAGGTGAGACTGTTACCTCATTCTCTCCTAAAGGTTGAGTAGCAGCATCGTTGGTGTCCTCTGGAGGCTGAGCTGGTTGCTCATGCTCGACCAAAAAAAGTTCATTTTCAGAGGCAGTCAGTGGCTGATTTGAAAGCTCTTGCTGGACTGACAAAGGTTTTAAGTGCCCAGGGGACACTGTAGACTGAGCTGAGGTTTCCTTTTGGGGTGGAGACGTTTTAACCTTATTAGTGAATGCTGGAGTGATGGTGAGTGCAAGATCCACAGGTTTGACAGTGGCGCTGGGCGGCTGCAGTTGAACTAGAGAGGAAACTGTTGTCACATGATGTTCTGGAGAGATAACTGTAACTTCATTAGAGAGCTCTGGACGCTGAGCTGTGGCCTCCTGCTGGGGTGGAGAAGGTATAATCTCATGAGCCTGTGGATTCTGAGCTGGCGTCTCCTGTTGTTCTGAAGGTGTAATCTGGGTAACAGCCTCTGGAGACGGGACTGGAGCTGGCACTTGAACTGGCAAAGGTTCAACTTCCTCAGGCAACTGTGAAAGCAGTGTGGGGGCCTCCGGCGGAGATGCGGAAAATTCTGCATTAGTAAGGGGCGCTGAGGACTGAGCCAAAGGCATATGCTGACTTGGAGAAAGTCCTGCCACCGGAGTGGGTTCTGTGGTTATGGTAAGCTCAAGATCTGCAGGTTTGACAGTGACATTGGATATGCCTGAATGTTGAGTCAGTTGCTCCAGCAGTGTTGCAGCAGATTCTGTCTCCACTGGAGACAGACCTTGGGTCTCCTGCTGGGTGGGAAAAGATTCGGCCTCATTAGGGGACTCTGGAGACGGAGCAGCCTCTTCCTCCAGGACTGGAGAAGGTCCAGCTACTCCAAGAGAGTCTGACAGCTGAGTCAGGGTCTCCTGCTGGGTGAGAGAGGGTTCAACTTCCCCAGCAGGCTCAGAAGGCTGAGTTAGTTGCTCTTGTTCACTTGGAGAAGGCTCACCTTCCTCAGGGGCCTGTCCTGTGGTCTCCTGCTGGGTTGGAAAAGCTTCATCTTCCCCAGTAAGCTCAGAAGGCTGAGCCGGTTGCTCCTCCTCACTTGAAAGTTCAGCCTCCCCCAGGGTCTCTGGAGGCTTCTGCTGAGTTGCAGGAAATTTAGTTTTCTTAATGAGCGTAGGAGTGATGGTAAGTCCCAAATCATGAGGTTGAAATGCAACACTGTGCAGGTTTGAATGAACCTGATGCCGAATGCCAGGTCGAACTACTACCTCATCGCTCATTGGAACTTGGAATACATACTCAGTAGGGAACCCTGGAGCTTGAGTTGGGGTCTCTTGATGGAGCAGAGGAGATGCAACTGTCTCAGGGTGCTTTGCAGGTTGAGACAGGGCCTCCGGCTGGACTGGATGAGTTTCAACCACATCTTGTTGCTCTGGAAACTCAGATGGGGCCTCCTGTTGGGCTGGAAGAGGTTCAACCTCCTCAAAGTGCTCTGGAGGTTGAGATAGGACCCCCTGCTGGACTGGAGAAAGTTCCACCTCTTTAGTCACTTCTGGAGTCACGGTAAGCACTAGATCCAGAGGTTTAACAGTGACATTGTGCAAGTGTGACTGCTGAACTTTATGATGCGCTGCTGGTCCAGCTACAGTCTCCTTAGGTGCCTCCAAAGGCTGGGCTAGGGCCTCCTGAGGGCTTGAGGTTTCCACTTCCTTGGGGGTCTCTGCAGGTTGAGACAGAGCCTCCTGCTGAAGTAGAGGTAGTTCTACCTCGTTGGTGTGCTCCAGATGCTGAGCCTGGGCCTCTTCCTCGGATGAAAAAGATTCAGCTTCCTCAGGCGTCTCTTGTTGGGATGAAGATTCGAACAGCTCGTTGGGAAACGGTCGGGAAGTGTGGTACTCCTGCTGAGATGAAATTTCAGCCTCAGGGGGCTCTGGAGTTTCATCTGGGCTCCCCAGAAGATCCGTAGGTAGGCTCTCCTCAGGATAAAAGTCATCCATACTGGAATCTAAATAATCATCCTGCAGTTCTTCTAGACCCTGATTTTTTTTTCCAAGTTGTCTTGTAGTTCCAACAACAACTTTGGCAAGCGGTCGATGCTTAACGAGATCTTTCTTCAGGTTTGAGGGTGAAACAATAAACTTCGTTGGTTTTGAGCTCTTACTACCTAGAGGCGGAACAAGTATTTCAAATGACTGGTGATTTTCAGCCTGATCTGGACCTATAGTTTTAGCCTTACTTTTGTTTTGAGGAGGCAGAACCAAGGCTTGATTCTGATCCCAATCTAGCACTGGAACCGCTTCTGGGAGATTTTCATGCTGGGTTAGCTTGTCATCCAGATCCTCGTGTAGAATAGCAAACTTATCTGGCTCTGCCAACAGCTCTCCAGCTGAATCCGAGTCCAGGTATGGAACCAGAGTCTCACTCAAATCCTCATGAGGCAGGGCCAACATGTGGTCTGGAGAGGAGGAAGTCAAGTAATTAAAGCCCCCCGGCTCTGCCAGGGGTGTGAGTGCATGGGGCAATTTGGGCGGGAGGTCAGAGGAGTGTGAAGACCAGGGCTCAGTCAGCCCTGGGGGGTCGGAGGTCAACTGGACAGGGCCCTGGGCCCACTCCAGAGGCTGAGCTGCCTGAACCAAAAGCCACAACGGTTGCCAGGTAAGGAGGAGCCGTGGGGACCACAGGCGCAGCCGGGACATGACATGCGGAGGCTCCCGGGCACAGCGACCCAGGCCAGTGGGGCGCCGGCGCCGCCCCTGAGCGGGAGCCGAACCGTTATGTGAGCCCGCAACGCGCGCGCACCGTTAGCAACCGCGCGCCCCTCCCCCGCCCCGCGTCCAGCCCTTTATTTACGACACCTTTAGTTACGCCACCTTTATTAGGTTCGAACCAATCTGCGCCATCTGAGTGCGCCTTTTTCCCAGAGTCACCAGGGCGCAAACCAAGCCATCCTTCCTCTCACACAGGTGACAGTGCCCTCTGGCCGGGCCCTCTCCCTAGCCTCCCCCAGCCCCTCCTGGCTCCGTGCAACCAGGCAGGATTTGGGCTGCAGACCTAAATGGCCCTGGACGCTGGCAGCCCAGGGGTTGGGGGAGGAGTGAAAGGGGATGCAGAGCTTCCCAAGGAAGCCCCAGAGCCAAGCATTCCAGGAAATTCATTACTGCTAGTCCAGTTCTGGCACTGTGAACTCTTCCTCCTCAAAGCTTAAGTCTGAGAGGCATTCTTCCTCCCCTTGGCCACACGGCTTCCAGGAAAAGCAGCTGACCTGCAAAATGAGCAGCACTAGTTAGGGTGGCGGGAGGGGAACACACCTTACAATTTTAAAGTTATTAAAACATGTTGCTCTTTCCTCTAAACTCTCAGTACCCAAGTCTGGTCATTAATTCACCACTCTGCTATTAGGGGTTACCACCAAATCAGTGATGACTTCAAAATTTCTGTAGGAGAGGCTTTGGGCAAGTGAGCAAGTCATTCTGGCAAAGAATGTCCAACCAAGTGAATGGCCCTTTACATTACCATGGGAAAACTTGCCCCATCCCACCTTGTTTCAAAACAGCCATTAATCTAGAAAAAATTGCAGTGTCACTTTACAGAGCCCTGCTCTGTGTACACACCTGGAGAAAACACTTAAGATGTTGAAAGTCAGTATGTTAAATAATTTTCTTGAAATACTGTAACTAAGCATGCAGTTTACTTTCTTCACAGTCCTTTTTTAAATAATCTAGTCCTTTTTGTTTGGCGACCTCTAACATCTAAACTCCAAGAGAAAGGGAGCTTCATCTTATCCCCACTGTCCAACCTAATGGTTTTTTAAAGGGAACTGATTCGAAGACTGGCCTCATTTAGGAATGGATTTGTTTTTATAATCAGATTTCCAAAATCTTCAGCATCAATACCAAATCCTTTCCTCTCTCATTTCATGGGAGGCTAGCCTTCTAAAAGCCCAAACTTGGACATGTTTGAAGTTTCCATGACTTATTTGATTTAAATTGAATTAAAATAATTATTTTGTGAATGAAAAGCTTTCAAAATTTTTGTTTTTAAGGACATAACCACCTTTTCTGTCTCTACTTTCTTCTCTTCAAAACAAACTTTGCAACACTGGGGTGGGTTAAATAATCAGAAATCCAGCCCCAAATTAAGTTCTCAATGACATGAAACACATTTTTTGCTCTTTTTTTTTAAAATCCTATATGCAGTACATTAATGTTTTCTTTTAAAAATTACTTTGACAACTTAATCCATGATTTGAGGCATTCATATAACTGGTTTACAGAAAGGTCCTTCAGCAAAATATTTCACACAAAATACATATGAGATCTGGATAAAACACGTTATTTGAAAGGCATTAATACATTAATACAGTTGCCACACACTGTAGCATAATCACAACAAATTAAAGCCATAATTACTTTGTTTCCAAATGCCCGCAATTCTGTTTGAGGGGAGTTCTAAGAGGCCTGTGTCTTCTCCTGTGTCCACAACTGTACAAGTACCTCATGGTCCTCAACCCTGCTCTCCAAATCTCAAATAAGGGGTCAGAGAGAAGGCTCAGACATCAGGAAAAGTCCTAGAAACTCCCTGCTTCAAAAGCAGTTTCAGAGTTTCACATTTCCTAAGGAGGATGGAGCTGAGCAGACATGCCAAGAATCTTCTGGTTGTTTTGAATTACGGCTACCCTGGCTTTGTATCCCTTGAGTCTTTCTCTACACATACTTGAATTAAATCCTGTAGTTCCTCTTCAGTTCTAGCATCTGTGACCTCTTCACAGGATCTATACGCCACAGCTATTTTGCCACTTTCTGAAATAGAGTTAACAAATATCAATTCAGAAATTTTGTTCCAAAACTTCCTGTGCACAATGGTAGCATCCAATAATTAGACATTCTTTTTATTTCTAAAAGCAGAAAACAAGAGCATTTTCCTAGCAGTTCCCACATCCAACACATATCATTACTATTTGTGAAAAAATATGTAAGAGAAGTATCAACTTTGGTTCAAAAACCTTTATGATCTTAGAAATAAGAACTAAGGAATGAGGCAGTAAAAGCTGTGGAAACAAAAATGTTCAATCACAATATGATTAAATAGGAAGGCACTAAGGAGGGGTCAAAGTGAATTCAAACCGGGGATAGATACCACTGGACTATACAGGAAACGTCATATTAGAAGTGAGGCAAATGTCTACTACTTGGGACCAAAATTCTACCAGATACAATGAACAAAGCTTGGAGAGAGAATTTTACTGGCCTATGTACCTTTTGGACTACACAGCTTCCCTCAAGGCAAACTACAGCCACCAGGCTTTTCGGTTTAAGGAATTTTGAGTGCATATAAGGAACACCATTTGCATATTGCTGCTGCGGCTGCTAAGTCGCTTCAGTTGTCTGACTCTGTGCAACCCCGTAGAGGGCAGCCCACCAGGCTTCCCCCGTCCCTGGGATTCTCCAGGCAAGAACACTGGAGTGGGTTGCGATTTCCTTCTCCAACGCATGAAAGTGAAAGTGAATGAAGTCGCTCAGTCACGTCTGACCCTTCGCGACCCCATGGACTGCAGCCCACCAGGCTCCTCTGTCCACGGGACCCTCCAGGCAAGAGCACTGGAGTGGGCTGCCATTGCCTTCTCCGATTTGCATATTAGGGATAGGCAAACAACCTAGACAGTTAGTTTGGTTCTCAAAGGTTGTTACTGGAATTGACAGCTCATGGACATCCTGCCTGGTGACTAGGGAAGTCAAACTTCACTGGAACGACTGTCCAGGCTGGAAGGCTGACACCAGTCCAAGGTCAACTCTGACAAGCAAATAAGGTCTCTGACAACTTAGCTGGCATTTCTCAGTCCCTAATCCCACAGGGCTGTGAAACAGGGGAGCAATTCTGTTCCAGGGATCTACCAACCATGAAGTTTCCTTTGGGCACAGCCTGTGACATTTTCACCCTATATAACTCAATAGGATACATAATCAAGCTATTCAATAGCATGATCACATTCAAGGCTCACAAAAATGTATATAAGAATCGTATTCACCCAATATATCAGAAATGAAAACTGAAATTGATTCCAAAAACATAATCTAATCAATTCTTCAAGAAAACAACAATGATAATAATCATCATCGAAATATTTTGTCTGCTTACTATGTTCCAGGCATGGTTCTAAGACTTTTACATTCATCATCTTATTTACTCTTACAATATCCCCTACAAGGTAAGCTGAATTACTAACCCTATTTATAGATAAAGAAATTGCAGCTTAGGGATATTTAATACCTTCAAATCTCTCTGGCTAGAAAACCTAAAATTGCAACAACAACAAAAATCTAAGAGACAAAGTCAGGACTCAAACACAGGTGTCCAAGGCTTACAGTCACCATACTATTCCGTATGATAAGTCAGCAATCGAGAAACAAGAAAGGGATCAAACACTTTCTGTATGAACTGAGGCAAGTCAGTGTACATCTAAACAGTGGGGACAATAATATTTGTGTCATTTTTCTCATAAATGCCACAAAGAACAAATGTGAGACTGCTGCTGTGCAAGCATTTGGTAAATGAAAGAATATGTAGTGTTTTATTTATTTTTAAACATTTTTTTTTACTTTTTATTTATCTACTTACTTGGCTGTGCTAGGTCTTAGTTGTGGCATGCAGGATCTTTAGTTGTGGCATGTGGGAGCCACATGCTACTTCCCTGATGAGGGATCAAACCCAGGCCGCCTATATTGGGAGCACAGAGTCTTAGCCACTAGACCACCAGGGAAATCCCTATGTAGTGTTTTAGATAACCATTATTTTCATCCAATTAACTTTTCAAATAAGTTTAATTGCTCATTGAAACTGAAGTACTATAAGGACAGTCAAAGTCTTACCTAAAACCACAATCTGCAGTTTCTGGAATGCATTTGTCATAGCCTTCTGAATAGCAAGTTTCTGGGTTTTCTTCCTTTTCATAAGGAGTGATAATGGCCCTAAATCCAACCAAAACAAGTGAATTTAAAATGCTTATCTGGATAACTGATTTCTAGCTTATATGTTTAAAAATTTTAAAATGCACCTGTGATTCTTAGATCATTATCTTAGTGATTAAGGGGGAACACAACACTAGGGTATGGTTGAATGGCTATGATGTAGTTATATTCTGGCACGGCACATTTTTCCTGCTCACATCTATTCTTGAAGTTCCTGGAATACTAGATGGGAGATGAAAGCCAAGAACATGACACAAATCTCTCATTACTCACAGATTCCACATGGACAAGCTACAGCCACGCTCCTGCAGACTCCTGCGTTGAGAGGGCTGGATTCACAGTGAGACAGATGATCTGGTCTCTCCCCAGGCATCACTCACTCAGGTGGATGGTGGGGCCTCCTCCACTCCCTTTACTAACAGCCCTGCTTCTGACTGAAGCCCAAGTGCCATGGGAATCCATACCAATGGGAATCCCCTTTCCAGGGATCTACATTTGACTTTCTCCACTCAAGCCCTTCCATAGGAGGCAAAGGACTGACCTTTTACACAGGAGTTGATTTAAATCTTTAGAGAATGATTTTGTTGGGATAACTGAAGGCCATAAGAGATCTGTATTTGAAGGACTATTTTAGCAGAAAACAAATAACCAAAAATGGAAAAAAAAAAAAAAAAAAAAACCACCTTAATTTTCCCACCTCCTTGGCAGGCAGTCAGTTCGAAAACTCTAAAGTTCATGGTCTTGTCAGGTATTGCCTAAGTTAAAACCCTGTGTGGCAAAGGAGAAAAACTCTGCCCTGGACTTCAGCTGCTTGGCAAAGGTGATGATGTATCTGAAAAGGCGAGTTTCAGAAAGAGAGGAAAAGAGACCTTCTTCCAAGTTATCCAAAGGTTCCTCAGCCATGCCAACTCCTGGGCTTCTGCACTCGTAGGATGGCACCACCACCTCTAAAGCACAGAAGAACTTCAGACTTTGCTTCTGAAGAGGCGCCACAATATCTTCATTTTCCCTTTCTTCTTCAGGGTCAGAAAGATCCTGAAGCTGTTAGGATTTTGAATTAAAGGTTATACTTCAAAATATTCTGTTTTGAAAAATAAAAAACTCCATCAATCCCACTTAATAGTTGAGGTGTCCGACAGCTTCAAAATCAAGTGAGATTTGCAAATGAATTACTAGGTACAGAGAACTATTTTTTATTATATATCACACAAATACTGGAGAAAATTATGGACACCGCCATTTAAGTCACTGAGATGATCACGAATTCTAGGTGGCATGTCCATGCTCAGATACTTCCACGGGGAAGTCTTTCCCATCTCCTCCCTGTAGCCCATTTCTAGTTTTCTTTCTAAAGTCTAGGAGTTCAATGTTGAAAGGGGCCTGGTTGGTCAAAGAAAATCTACAGAGTTTACCTTGATGATCCTTTTTGACCATCCATTGAAACCAAAGTAGTAATTTGCCAATTCCTGACATCTGGAGCTGTTTAGGGCAAGGGCGTTGTGTTGAACTGCCTTATGTTGGGTGCCAAGACGAATCTAAAGACATAAGAAACCTAAAAATATCACAATCTGACATAGACTTATTTTGGATATACCTGTTTGTCAATACCAGTTTCATGTTGTGTTGTTTAGTTGCTGAGTTGTGTCCTACTCTTTTGTGACCCCACAGACTGTAGCCTTCCAGGTTCCTCTGTCCATAGCATTTCCCAGGCGAGAATACTGGAGTGGGTTGCCATTTCCTCCTCTGGGGGATCTTCCCACCCAGGGAGTGAACCTGCGTCTCCTGAACTGCAGGCAGACTCTTTATCACTGAGCCACCTGGGAAACCCCAATCAATTTGAGTGGTTGTAAAGATTATATAGGACATTTTAAGCAATGAGTTCACAGTGAGCCCTAAATAAGTGTTCTTTATTATTTTTTAGTAAGTCAGTACTTTTCTGCATCATTTCCAGAACCCGATTCATCGGAAGGTTTCCCTGTCCTCTGGTGGTGAAAGTGATGATGAACGCAACCAAGGAAGCCCAGGAGAAGCCTTTTGTAGGGCTGTGGGTAAGCAAAGGAAGAAAACTTTTAATCATCTTATCCCTATCTTATCCTGCTTGAGAATATGACCTGAAGGGGAGATAAGATGGACCTGCCACTGAAGTAGGACCTTAATCTGCAGCACCCCCTCCCCAAGTTAATAACCCCTGTTAGAAGAGGGAATACACATATCTCTATAAATTTTATAAGTAACCAAAAGAATTAGAGGTTCAGCTACATTAACAAGCTCCTTTGAGAGTATGAGTATTTCCGGCATTATTTCTCCAAATAACTTACACAGTATCACTTTACTGTGGATTTTTTACATCACTAGCACTTTGTTAAATGTCTATTTCCATTTTAAACAGTGTGTAGCGTATAAATATATTAGTAAAAATTCAAATAAAGTCAAAGCATTATTAATTCTTTATTTCTCTGTTTGTGCATCTTCCTCTATCACTAGTTTATGAACTTAAGTGCTAGAAGGAACCATATCTTGTTACCAGGAACAAGCATAATTCTTGGCATATAATAGAGGACTGAGGGTCTGTTGACTCAGTGAATGAATGAAAGAATGAGTAAATAAGAAAGTGAAATTACTTTCTCCAACTGAAGCTGCCTGCTGGGAAGGAGAAATGAAGACTACTTTTTAAATGCTGAGTGTCTTGTAGGAGGCTAGGCCCTGTATGGTGAGTCATAATTCAGCTGTCCTGGACAATGAAGAAGCTTCAGAAGGGCTCTGAGCGTAGTAGAGACAGTCTATATCTGGGATAACCTTGCCACAGTTCTTGCTAGCAAACAACATATAATTAAACTAGGAAACAATTGGGAGAAGGGTAAAAACTCAAGGTTCTGCATTACATAAAGAAATCTAATATGAATGCCCTTTCCTCTCAACTATATAGTGACTTACAGAACATTTCCTTCATTTCTCTATCAGTGATGGGTTTTATGGTGTGCAAATCTCAAAACCTAAGCTTACGGAATGGTCTTAATGTTCAGTATAAGAAAAAGAACTCATTACTCACAACTGATACCAAGTAATCGTTTCATAACCTTTTCAGTAATATATAAGTGGGTACATGAAATGGTCGCAGCAAGTAGCAGGCATATCATAGTCTCCAAATTAAAGAATGTCTGACATTCTTTATGAATGTCATTTCAGTCATAGGGAGGAGAACCCAGATTGAAGGTGTGAAACAGGGTACAAAAGTGGGAAGTACTGTACCTCGAGTCACGTCTGAGGACAGTTCTCAGATTCAATCAAGGTTAAACCAGTGAGGAAAGAAAAAAATATGGGTAAGAATAGGCAGCAAGGTCAGTGGGAAGTAGCCAGATCAAAAAACCAACCAGAGGGACTTCCCTGGTGATCCAGCGGTTAAGACTCCACCGTGCAAAGCAGGGGACGTGGGTTCAATCCTTGGTCATCACTTTAAGATCCCACATGCCCCGGCGCCACAACTAAGACTCGACCCAGTCAAATAAATAAATAAATATTTAAAAAAAGAAGAAGCCAACCAGAGGAGACATACAGTTATAAAGTGAAAGGCTTGGGAAATCTAAGCCTTACTCAGCTATTCAGAGGAACTGAAAAAATCCTTGGAAAAGGAATGGTGGCTGAATGGAGGCATATAATGAAATGTTCATTCTGGGGCTCTGGGGAAGTAAAACTGGCTAGCGTGTTACTATGGAGCCATATTATTAGAATAATCATACACTAAAGAATATTTTAACCATTTTCTGGAAACCGAAGGGAGTTCTGAATAAGCAGTTTGAGAATGATGATGATGATGATAAAGCATCCTTTATGTTACAACTGACTAAAAACTTTGTCAAGCTCACACATTTAAAATTCATATAAAAATAACTATAAAGAACTCTTGTGAAGATTTCTTAAATTAAGGGGCAGCATAAATGACATGGGGTTTAACATCAATAAGTTTGGGTTTGACCTCTAGTTTCCATATTTATTGTCATGAACCTTAAGTAAGTCAGTTAACCATCCTGAGCTCGAGTTTCTTTAAAAAAGAAAAGAAAGGGGGGTGGGGGGAAGAAATGGGGAGCTGTGGTGGGCAGTAAGTGGAGCAATGCATCTGAAAGCATTCTGTAAGCCAGAACGCTTTACAAACGTTGGCCTATTCGTTTTAAATTCAGCACTTCATCCCAGAGGAGCGAGGAATTCCACATTTGGACCCACCTTCACTGGAGATTTCTGGAAAAGCTGCTTCTGGTTGCATGCCTTTTGGGCTGTGTGAGCATCCCTCGCTGAATAAAACTTGATGATGGCATAGAATCCAGGACCGGCCACTGCGGCGTTTGGGAAGACTCGGACCGAATACAGAAGGCCGAACTGGGAGAAGACTGTGAACAGAGAATGCTGTAGGGTGGTCCTATTGTAAGTAAGAGCAGGAAATTTCAAGCCCAGGAAACCAAATTGACCATTCCCTTATATTCCCCCCAGCCCTTCGCCACAGGCAACGGTGGTGAGCCTGCAACTCCAAACACTTCTCATTTCACAAACAAGTTTCCCTCTGAACGCCTAAGCTTCGAGAAGCACTAGGAGGCATTGTGAGGCCTGCTGGGAGCTATCTCTGAAAAATCTTTAAGGGCGAGTTGACCGCTCCAGTCGGCTCTAGAACTAAGATTCTTCTCAGCCTAGACCACAGGGGAGCGAGGTGCTGAAGCAGGGCCCCGGGGCTCCCAATTACTAGGGGGCGAGGCGGCTTTCTCCATCCCTCCCTCCACGCCGGCCTGGCTCACTTGCAAGGCCTCGGCCGTGGGTCCAGAGCTCAGTTCCCACACAAGCAAGGTTTTGTCACCCCCTGTGGGAACCGTAAAAGGTACCAACTCCGCCATCCTACCGTCACCGCGCATGCGCAGCTCGCGAGCGAGCCGCACTGCGCCTGCGCACGGCGCGCCCGCGCTTTTTTAAAAAGAGCGCTTGAGGGGGCGGGGCCAGGGGAGTGAGACGAGGGCGGGGCTCGTACCTCTCCTTCGCCCCGCCCACTCCTGGCGGGGCTCCGCCTCTAGTTCCCCTTCCGCAGCTCCGTCGTCGGGGAGACTTTGGAGTTTAGTGATTTTACACAAGTGTATTTTGTGGATTGAGTCCAAAGGGTTAGTTTATTGGATCGGATGGTGCGGACTTTATAGCAGCTGGCTTCATCTTCAGACTCCCAGGGAAGACTAGAGTACTAAGTAGTTAGCAGTAAATACCCACTGAACTTTAAAATTTTAGATGTCCCGACTCTGTGGGAAATGACCACCAAAGATGCAACACTTGGACTTAAGAGTGTTTGTTTTCATGAGTTTTAAATATGCAAATCAAGGTATAACTTATTAAAGCCATCAACAGTCTAGTTTGAAATCCTTAAAAAGCTGGTTTCTAGCCCATTTTCCTGAAGTACCCCCAAATCACCTGCCATATTTCTGCACCCCTACCACGACTTTCTCCACTTCAATATATCAGAACTTTAGCATCACTCATTACCTACTTCTGAGCTCTTTTACTTCAAAAATAGTTGACTTTAGAGGAATAATATGGATCTTGATACTATTTCAAACCAATAACTACAGATTTTATTATCCATTTCATTATTCTTGCATTCATTGTATGTGTCCATTTATTCATTGTATCCATTGTTCACAGATGTCTCTGCTTCTCCAGCTGGATTATGAACACCACATGAACAATAGTTACCATTTATCATCTTTCTTCTATACCTGGGCTTCCCTGGTGGCTCAGAGGTTAAAGTGTCTGCCTGCAATGCGGGAGACCTGGGTTCGATCCCTGGGTCAGGAAAATCCCCTGGAGAAGGAAATGGCAACCCACTCCAGTATTCTTGCCTGGAGAATCCCATGGACGGAGGAGCCTGGTGGGCTACATTAGTCCATGGGGTCGCAAAGAGTCAGACACGACTGAGTGACTTCACTCACTTCACTTTCTAGTACCTAGCACACACTCATAATCTATTAGGTACTCAAATATAGGTGGAATTAATCATGAATAAATTAACACATTCTTTGCACAAGGAATGGTTTAATAATTCCAAAAAATAGAGAAGCTTCTTTCATCGTGGTCTTCTTGGTTTGCAAATGACAGTCAGGAACCAGGGACCTGGGCCTGGATGGGAACAAGGAGGAAGCCCTAGAAAACCATTTGTTCCTGGGGCTCTGGTCAGTTTTATTTGTAAATGGGAAGGGAAGAAAATAACATGAAGTGGAGGCAAGAGGAAGAAGAATTGAAGAATTCCCGAGTGAGGAGAGGAGTTCTGGAATGACTCCACCACAGGCCTGCTCCCTGCCTCATGCCAGGTGACAGCCTGTCATCCAGTAGGAGAGGGGCCGGCCGGCACAGTGCAACCTCCATTTCACCCTGCGGAGAGAGAGAAGAGTGGTTCTTGCTTCCTACTTAGCAGCTGCTGCTTTACACATGACCCAGCTTTCCGTGAGTATTCCGTACAGAGCAATGCCTAGAAACCCCTTCATTCCCAGCTCTCTACTGTGTCCTCCTGTGGCCCCTCTGATTCTTTCTTTAATTTCTGTCATCCATAGTGTTTGCTCTTTCCCCCTACCCAGTACACTTCCACATTTTCAAATCCTCAACTCCTGAAGGGGGAGAGCATTTTTTTACAGGGCTGAGGGTTACTTAAAAAAAAAAAAATCCCAGGTGTAACTATTGACTTTCCCTCCAGAAAGTGTCAGCCTTAACAGTCATCAATTCCCCCTCCTCTCTCTCTCTCTCTCTCTCTTTTTGATAAAGTTGCTATGTGCATTCATTTAAAAAAAAAGTTATTTATTTGGTTCTGCCGGGTCTTAGTTGCAGCATGTGGGATCTAGTTCCCTGACCAGGGATCAAACCTCGGCCCCCTGCTTTGGGAGTGTGGAGTCTTAGCCACTGGACTACGAGGGAAGCCCCAGTGCCCCTTATAAATAGACATCCCTTCCCTGGTGGCTCAGATGATAAGGAATCTGCCTGCAATGCAGGAGACCCAGGTTCAATCCCTGGGTAGGGAGGATCCCCTGGAGAAGGAAATGGCAAACCACTCTGGTATTCTTGCTTGGAGAATTCCACGGACAGAGGAGCCTGGCGGGCTATAGTGCGTGGGGTTGCAGAGTCAGACATGACTAACACTTCACTTTGGAGCATGCAAGGTACTTAACTCCTTCTGTTTTCAGTTTCTGGTAGAGGCAGCCATTTACGTTGTTTATATATCCAGTTTGAGGCTTAGAAATGTTAAATAATCAACTCAATGTCCACCATAGTTAAGCTGGATCTGCAACACTCATCCTGCTGACGAACAACACTCTTTTTTATAGAAATGTTGCTGCCAGTTATGGAGAGAGGGTCCCATGGCAGCCGTGTTTATGCTGCTTAATTGCTTCCATCCCTACAGCTGAATGGAGCCAGGTCACCAGGTCCAAGCTGAATCCAACAGATCCTCTATCTGGACTAGGACTGAGCCTCACGGGTCTCTGTGGTTGTTTAGGACATTAGCCCATAGATTCAGGGCAGACCGTCTGTCTGGTGGACTGTAGATTAGAGAAACCCAGTCTGCAGAGGGAGTAGTGATGCCAAGGCACTGAGAGAAGCAGAAACTTGCCAGGGAAAGTCCCCAGCCCTGTTTCCATCCCTTTCCTGAAGCCTAACTGCACCCCTCCTGTGGGCCCAGCAAGACACCTTGTCCTCTCAGCATAAATCCACCCCTCCCCCCCCGCCACACCCCCCTACTTCCGGCTAACTAAAGTCATTCTGTTACTGCAGCCAAAAGAGTTTTGCTCAATATAGCATCAGAGAAAGAGCTAGATCCCAGGAGCTACTAAGTCAGAGTTCCTGCCACAGCCCCCATTTTTCTAGACTGTACAGAAAGTCCTGACCTAGTGTCCCTTTCTCTGTCACCACATCTTTCTTAAGGCTCTGCCCACTAACTTTGTCCCAAAGTGACCTCCTCACCAGTTCTTCATCCCCCCCGCTCCGGACACAATCTTTTTTGCACAGTTGATAATCGCGAGAAGATTGGGGCTCAGCAGTTCTGAAAGAAAGGGAGAAAGAGAATACCTATGAAAGTGCTGGGGACAGTCCCAAAGACTGGCTCTCCCTGCAAGGCACCTCCCACCCAGAGACTGAGAACTTCCAGTCGAGGCATGGACTCCCTCTCAGAGGCCCATCTGGACATCCATACAATGGCTGGTGGACGTTGGGGGTGGTTGGGGAGTAGGGGCAGGAGGGTCAGGAGGACAGAGATGTGGGTCTGTTTACTGCCATCCTCCCTAGTGGATGGTGGTTCCTCCCAAGTGTGGAGGTTTCTAGGGAAAGGAAAAGCCAAAACAGGCTGCACAGTAACCAAGGTGAAGTCCTGCCTAGGGAGCGAGGTTCTTCAGGTGAAGAGCCGAGGGCCATTCATCAGAGTTCAAAGGAGGAGATGAGGTCTCCTCCTCATCAGAGGGTCATGGACCTGTGGAATCTTCTGGACTAGACCTGAGGTGGGGACTTAGCACTTGATCTTCAGTCAGACCAATAGCCAAAGACAGCACTACTTGCTGGCAAGAGCTGAGCCTTCAGGGCCAACAGAGTGGCATTTGGCACTGGTTCTCTGAGCCTCAGTTTGCCCATCTGTAAAGTGGGGATCATATTAGTTTCTATCACATACCAAGTTGGGTAAAATGAGCCATGTGTGCAAAGTACTGAGTATGTAATACACTCAATAAATGTTGGCCGCTGCACTGCTCCACTCTACTGGCTGTGCAGAGCCTTTCTGGATCCTGAGAGCAGCCTGCAGAAGCTTCTGTGGGCATCCAGGGACACGGTCAGACCCCCTGCTCAGTCAAGGAATCCCCTGACTCCACGAGCCATCCCTCTGGGGGCGCTGCCAGGCTGTACATCCCGTGAGTAGAGCCTGGTCATCTCTCTCACCTCTCCCACCCTGGGACCCGTGTCAGACCTTGACAGTCCACTTGGCAATTGTTTTCCGTGTGACTCTGGTAATCGTTGCACCAGTAGTGGCTGTTGATCTGGAAGATGCCATAGTCAAAGCTGCCATCTGTGTTTTCATTCACCTTTGTTATGTTGAAATCACTCTCTACGAAAGCCAGGCACAGCCCTTAGAACAGGGAGAAGAAGGTTTTCAGAGGGGGTGGTCAAGCTGAGGGAGAAGGAAGATGGAGGAGAAAGGGATGAGGAATCAGAAGAAAGGAACAAGGACTGAGGGGCTGGATGGGGCTGGCAGGCCAGAAACATCCATCAGCTTCTCCTCTCATTTTTCAGTCCATTTCAGCCAGCCACCCATCAGTACAACCACTCATGCATCCATCTGTCCATCCATCCTTTCTGCACTTAATGATCACTGACTGTGTGCCAGAAACTGTGCAAAGCCCTGAGAGGGACATTTAGCTGGGTCAAATGCAGATGTTGCCTTCAAGGAGCCTATAGAGTAAGAATGAAACTATGGACCTAAAAAACCCACAAGGCAAAATAGAAGGAGAGAGTGTTGTAAGGCAGATATGCACAAATTCTGGGCCGAAAGGCGCCATCTCTACTGTGGAGCTGGATAAAACCTTTACACTGGCTGTTCGCACTGCCTGGAATGCTCTTCCCCCAGACGTTTGGGGGACTGGATCCTTTTTCCTATTCAGCACTTCTCAAAGTCACCTCCTCAGAGAGGCCTTCCTTGACTTCCCCTTCTAAAACAGTGTCACCCATCACTCCCCCTGACTTATCCTTCTGCAGAGCATTCATCACCACCAGGAAGCACTTCATATATCTGTGTGTGTTTCCTGCTGCCTCTTCCCCTAGGATGTGAATACTGTAAGAGGAGGAGCTATGTTGAAGTCTGAACCCCCAGCACCTGCAGTCATTCCTGGGACATAGTAAGTGCTCAGTTAATAATGGTTGAACAAACACAGAATGTGGGGAAAGCCTTCTTGGAGAGGGCTGCTTTGTTCATTTGACTTTGAAAAAACAAATAAGAGAAGAAAGAAAGATGGCCACTGAGGGCACGACCATGGGAGGAGGAAGGAGCAGGGTGTTAGAAAATGTCACTCACAGTCAGTCAGGGAGTAGCCCTCAAACCCATCCAGGTCCTCCTGGTGCAGAACCTTGGCCAAGTCACAGCGGCCGATGAGGCTGGCCTGATTCACAGCAACGAGGCAGCTGACCAAGGAGATGAGCAGTGGGCTTGTCATCCTTGGAGGGGAGGAGGCACGGTGGAGGGCGAGCAGCGGAGGGCCTGCGGGGCCTGGAGTCTCCCAGACTGTCTCCCGGTCTTCTCCCGGGGAATCTGGAGAGGGCAGCCAAATGTCCTCACTCACCCACTGCTCCCCTCCTGGCTACTTACTTCTCTTTCCTCTCATGTATTATTCTATAAATACTTTTTTTTTTTGGTCTCCTGTTTGGTCTTTTATTCCCCAATTTAAAATTAACAATGCTGGGGCATGTCAAATAGACATGTAAGCTGGCCTAAAGGGGTACCCACTAGCCAAATCTGGAATAACATTTTTGAGGTAACAACTTTACTGAGATATAACTGACAATATATAATTCATACACTATACATACACTTAATTCAGTTAAAGTGTATAATTCAATCATTTTCAGATTGCAGAAAATCATTTTCAGAATGCAGTACTATGTGACTATCACGACAATCAACTTTATACTGCTTTCATCAACCCTAAAAGAAACCTCATATCTATTAGTTGTCACTCCCTGTTCCACTTCCCTATAGACTCTGGCAACCACTAACCTACTTTCTGGGCTTCCCAGGTGGAGCTAGTGCTCCTGCCAATGCAGGAGACATAAAAGATGCAAGTTCGATCCCTGGGTGGGGAAGATTCCCCTGGAGGAGGGCATGGCAACGCACTCCAGTACTCTGCCTGGAGAATCCCATGGACAGAGAAGCCTGGTGGGCTACAGTCTCAAAGAGATGGACACAACTGAAGTGACTTAGCATGCACGCATGCAATCTGCTTTTTATTTCTATAGATTTACCTGTTCTGAGCATTTCACATAAATGAAGTCATACAATATCTGGTCTTTTGCATTTGACATCTTTCACTTAACATAATGTTTTCAAGGTTCATCCATGTCATAGCATGTACCAGTATTTATTCCTTTTTCATGGCTGAATACCCTGGAGAAGGAAATGGTGGTCCACTCCAGTATTCTTGCCTGAAGAATCCCATGGACGGAGGAGCCTGGCCAGCCTCCTGTCAGTCCATGGGGTCACAAGAGTTGGGCATGACTGAGTGACTAAACCACGGCTGAATAATATTACATTGTATGGATATATCACAATTTGTTTATGTATTCATCAGTTTGTGGACATTTGAGTTGTTTCTACTTTTTGGTTATTAGGAATAATGCTCCTATGAACATTCATGTACAAGTTTTTGTGTGGACAAATATTTCCATTCCTATGGATATATTCCAAACAGTGGAATTGCTGGGTCACATGGTGACTTAAAGTTTAAACTTTTGAGGAATTGCTAAACTTCCAAAGTGGCTGTACCAATTTACATTCCAATCAACCATGTATGAAGATTCCAACTTCTCCACATCCTCACCAATACAGTTATTAACTGTCTTTTTGATCAAAGCTATCCTAATGGGTGTGAAGTGGTATCACATTGTGGTTTTGATTTGCCTTTGCCTGATGGCTGATAATGTTGGTTGTCTTTTCACATGCTCATTGGTCATTTGTATGACTTTGGCAAAATGTCTTTTCATATCCTTTGCCCATTTTTTCAGTTGGGTTTTTTGTCTTTTCATTATTGAGTTGTAAGTGTTCTTTATATATTCTGAACCTTATCAGATACATAATTTGCAATTATTTCCTCATATTCTGTGGGTCACTTTTCACTCTCTTGATGGTGTGTCTTTGAAACACAAGTTTTAAATTTTGATGAAGACTGATTTATGTATTTTTTTTCTTTTGTTGCATGTGCTTTGGTATCATATCTGTGAAACCAATGAATAACAGTTTCCAAGATAATCTAGAACAATTTGGCCATCACAATAAATGATGATAGTTATTATCTGTGATAACTTTCACTCTATCAAATGATGATAACCCATTGAGTAAGATAGGAAGCCATGAGTTCATAACAGTAATAGATAGTCAAATAGGTACATAATGGGGACTGGGGTGGGGGGCTCTTTCTGACATGAAAATGCTGACGGATAAATGTGGAGGTAGGCAAGAAGTTGAAAAATCACCATCCTGAAACCATTATAGATTGATCTGAGCAAGAAAGAATCAACAGTGGGTGCTAAATCAGAGGGAGTGGGAAGCTCAGTGAACTGAGTTTGTTCATGGTCCTAAAGTGTCTCCCCACAGATTGCATCTTAGTTGCATGAGAAAAACAGTAACAATACAGTGGAGAAACCAGATAGCATTTTTTGACTTCAGTCATATTGAGTGAAGTAAGTCAGACAGAGAAGGAGAAATATCTTATGATATCTGTTATATGCAGAATCTAAAAAGAAATGATAAAAATGAACTTATTTACAAAACAGATACAGACTCACAGACTTAGAGAAAGAACTTATGGTTATCAGGGGGGAAGGATGCGGGGGGGGGTGCGGAAAGGGGTAGTTAGGGAATTTGAGATGAACATATACAAACACACTGCTATATTTAAAATGGATAACCAACAAAGACCTACTATATAGCACAGGGAGCTCTGCTCAATGTAATATGGACAAGAGGGGAATTTGGGGGAGAATGGATACATGTCTCTTTGCTGGAAATGGAGAAGGAGGAAGGGAAAACATCTTGCTGTGTGCTCATCCTGCTGCTCTCTTGTTTAGACCCTAAGTCGTGTTCAACTCTTTGCAACCCCATGGACTTAGCCCATCAAGCTCCTTCATCCATGGGATTTCCCAGGCAAGAATCCTGGAGTAGCTTGTCCTTTTCTCCTCCAGGGGATCTTCCTGACTCAGGAATAGAACCCATGTCTCCTGCATTGGCAGGTGGATTCTTGACCACTATACCACCTAGGAAGGCTCGTATGTGTGGGTGGGTTTCCTTAACTAGGTGTATGTTCCCGAAGGTTCTTCCATCCACTGGCTTCATGAGTCTGGCAGTTTCTTGGACAAGATGGCTACCCTGACAGTCTGTCTCCTCATGAATGTTTTATTCTGTCTCCTGAGACTCACTCCTTAGCAGCCTGAGCTTGCGACCATTCTTTTGCTTCTCTCTCCCACTCTACAGTTGCCAGATTTAGTAAATAAAATCACAGCATGTCCTGTTACATTAGCATTTCAGACAATGGTTATTTTTTTAGTATAAGTGTGTCTCATACAACCCTACTTGGCCCTGACTCAGTGGGATCCTTCAGAGACAGGATCTTTCAGATCCTTCCAAAGATCCTGCCTTGGAAAGCAGGGAGCTCCATCTCTGCCCCTGAAAGCCCCTCTTGGGGTTCTCCAGGGAAGACGGTGGTTCGGGCAGGTGCACCCCAACCTCCCCTCCCGAAGCTTACCTCTCTCCTATCCCTTGCTGACCCCAGGTCCCAGCCTGCCCAGGGCTTTCCGTGAGAATCTATAGAACAAAGCCTTTTGGGTGGGAGCCTCCTCTTCCTCATGGACTATCCTTTAGCCCCGCCCAGCTCACTGCTCTCCATGTTCTAAAGAAGATGGGAGCACTCAGTCACCCCCGCCTTCTGGAACCCCAGTTCTGTGATGTCATCACCCTCCTGGAAATACTCTGGTCTTAACCATGCAAACTGGCTCAATCTTGAGGCCAAACTTGAGGCAGAAGCGGCAGATGGGCCTGGAGGGATTGGTGACAACTGTGACAAAGACCACTGATGGGACAGAGCACGTTGTTCTGTCTGACCACCTCCCTTCCCTTCTGGGCACAGTAACACCTTTGAGGGAACTCCTTCCCCCATGGCTTTTAGGTGGTCTGCCGGTCACAGGGCCCTGCCCTCCAGGTGAGAGGGTTTGTTCGTGCCCCAACGCATGTATCTTGAACTGAAACTAAGTGGCGAGGCTCAGCTTCTCACAGGAAGCCTTCAGGTGTGGGGCCTGAGACTGCTTGGAATCTCATGGGTACAGTCCATCTGAGAGAATAAGCCTCCTTGAACAGGGAGCAGAGTCCAGACAGGACTCTTATCCCAGCATCCACCACTTCTGCAGCCTAAACTCACCTTTGCCCTTACTGCAACCCTGTGATTCAATAAATGTCCTTTCTTGTATAAACACATTTGAGTTGAGTTTCTGTCACCCATACGACCAAAAGAGACCTGCTTAGTACAGGTAGGATGGAGTTAACCATCCATGGAGTGGTGACCTGACAACCTGTCACCTCCCCATGAAGGACACACATCTTAGTGTCATTTGTCACCAAGGAAGTCTAGGAGACATTTCCACCAACTCTAGCGAAAAGGAAGGGCTTCCCAGGTGGCGCTAGTGGTTAAAAAAACACAAACACTTGCCTGCTAATACAGGAAACATAAAAGACACAGGCTCAATCCTTGGGTTGGGAAGATCCCCTGGAGGAGGGCATGGCAATCCACTCCAGTATTCTGGCCTGGAGAACCCCATGGACAGAGGAGCCTGGCAGGCTACAGTCCATGGGGTTGCAAAGAGCCAGACATGACTGAAGCAACTTAGCAGCAGAAACATAGCAAAAAGGAGGCAAAAAAAGTTTTGTTACTGATGCTCACTTCACCCTTGAGACAGGGTGATAGAGTCTACCAGAAAGGAAGTAGGAGGAGTTTTTTAAGTGGGCAATGATGCCCTGTACCTTCCGCCTCTGGACTTGACCCCCCAGCGGGGCAGCAGCGCATTGCGTCTTGGGATGCAAAGACAGCAGAAGCTCTGCCGTTCTCCACTCACTCAGTCGTGTCCGACTCTTTTCCACCCCATGGACTGCAGCACGCCGGGCTTCCCTGTCCTTCACCATCTCCTGGAGCTTGCTCAAACTCATGTCCACTGAGTCGGTGATGTCATCCAATCATCTCATCCTCTGTCGCCCTCTTCTCCTCCTGCCTTCTATCTTTCCCAGCATCAGGGTCTTTTCTAATGAGTTGGCTCTTTGCATCAGGTGGCCAAAGTATTGGAGCTTCAGCATCAGTCCTTCCAATGAATATTCAGGACTGACTTTCTTTAGGATTGACTGGTTTGATCTCCTTGCAGTCCAAAGGACTCTCAAGAATCTTCTCCAGCACCACATTTT